TTACATAATATATAAATGCGAATATAACATATTATCATCATCATATCAGTCTTAAACTGTCCACTTTTAAATATAAGCCTCCCCCTTGGGGGGGTTTTGCCAGTATGTGCCATGTTTGACAGGCGGATAAGTAACTGAATCAGGCTTTAGAGATGTTGCTGCCCATACCTCGCCCTCCCTTAGTTGGCTCTTACGACACCCACGGGAATGGAAAGGGTGGCCTATTCTATGCCACCCCGGGACCACACGGCCTATAATATGAATAAACATATCATATTTATTTATATAATTAATTATAGTATATAATTATCAAATAAAAATAATAAACTATATATTTATATAATAATACTATGTACGTGAATTTGAGATTAAAAGACTGATAGATTTTAGTTTGCCAATAAATCGGTCATGAACATATCAGACAATATATCGCGTGCACTAAAGAGGGGGGGGGGGGGGGAAGGAAATAGGATTTAAGGACCTCTTTGCTAGCAATACACCCCCATTTAATTCTCATTGAATTCCTTACGTTGGTCTAACTGACCTGACTTCATCTTCGTCTATCAACCTTCACTGGTACCACACCAATGTACAGATAGCGCAGGCACCTACCACTATCACGTATCAATTAATTTTCGTCTCTAAAAGTTATATATATATATATATATATATATATATATATATATATTACTTCACCAGTACCATTAGATTACCAGTCTTCTCTGAGACAAAACTGAAAGTAGTCGTCTAATAGACTTGTAAATTTTTCGTGACTTTAAAGGAGAACTTTCTGAATTCGCCTTTATTATTTATCATGTTACGCAATATCTTCGCCAATTTGAACCAAATGAATTCATAATTCTTTTTTAATAGATAGTGTTTACGTCGTCTTTGGTTCCATACTAATATTATCACGACTAAAGTCGATATATGTTTGCAGAGTACATATTTTAAATTAATTAATCAGAGGGATACAGGGATACTTTGTACAAAAGTCGTTTGCTTGGGCACCTCTTTTTTTCGTTCGCATGGCTATGTTTCGGCTTCAAGAGTGGGATATGGCAGTGAATTTACAGTGTACAGAGGAATAACACCTGAATCATCAGGAATGGCAACGCATGGGGGGTATCATGGACGATAGAGTATACTCTATTATGTCCATGGTACTGTTCATGTCTATAGGCGACGGTTACCATTTTCTATCAGGTGAGCCGTCAGTTTGTTTGCCATTCTAAGTTGCATAATAAAAAAATAATTGTTATAATTTCGTTAAATGATCGTGTTAAAATTACTCCGGACAAACAGTGTTAAAATGACTGATCGTGTCTGATTTTCTAATTATTAGTAAAGGACCTAATTTATCCTGATACTTTGATAGTTGTCTTGTTCATAGTTTTAACTCTATGGAACGGTTTTATAACGGTAAACTTAACCATAAATATTTTATTTGTCCAGTAATCTTATCGATGCTCCATCAATTTCTGTCGGTTTACGATGCAATTAATCATTGGAGACAGATAAAATTAAATAAATATGCAGGTGTATAATTATGTAGGGCCAAAAGTCGATATCATTCTGTATTCTGCGAAGCAAGTGGTTGAAGACACTAATGTGAGCTGCGGAATGTTAATGCATGTCCAGAAATAAACTCGTCTACTGGATACAAAAAGCAATGAAATAGTATTATTGCAACTCACTCGAAGGTGTGGTTTGATACTTATGCGCTTCGATACCATTAGCGGGATGGTGTTGAGACGAGACGAGTTCACTCGACTCGGCACTCAGGTAGCGCTGGGATAAAAACACTTGAAACGGAACGGACGCACCTCGCTCTCACCTAGATAACGCTCGCCCGAGAACACGATCCTTCAACATATTGCACAGCTAACAAAAAACCGAACGCAATTTATATTTATGATACCTAACAATGCTTCTGATATTACAATTCAAACCCTATCCCGTCACATCAACCATGAATCAAGCTTTGTCTCGATTCTCCGACTTATTAGTGTGAAGTCCTAATCACCCATTCATATCACACGTATGCCGATAATATAAATAAGGTCTAATTCAATGAATGAACTTTATAACATGTAAATTCGTCGCTCAAATCGCGACAGTGCTCGGCGCGTAGGCGTCGGGCTTGAATGAAAATAAACATTACCACGGTTCTTACCTCTCTATTTTGATATTATCCAGATTAGCGAGATTGTCACGGCACACAGTTAAAAAAGACGTAATGCTATGTTACACAGAACTTGTGGTGATAACACTGTTTTGAGCGCGGTTTGAGTTCAGTTCGCAGACGTTCGGCAGGTCGATACCGCCGGCCTGTCGGTTCGGTACTGTTGTTGAGTGCGGCGTAGGTGCGCCCGCGCGGCACGCACACAGATGTGTTCATTCAAATAAACTGATTCTTGGTGGGGAGAACTTATGAATGGACGTAGTGCTCGTATAGATACCGTCTGATAACGCTATGCAAGCGTTATAATGTGATACGACGATCCGGCGAAAAGCTGCCACTCATTTTGAAGGTGATGATGTAAGCCAAATTGGAAGCCGTTTCGAAATACATACCTAAGTACAAAAGCCTTAGAATCAACATAACCCAGATAGGTAAATGACATTTATTTGTCTCAAATAAATAAAAAAGTGATGATAATGTAAAGTGTACATATATAATTAGTCTATTCCTATTAGATTCATTTATCTCAGAGGTACTTAAAAATTCTTATTTTCATATCATGTAGATACCAGACTTGTGTCAAATTTACAAAATTCACATACTGGATATTGTTGGAATTTGGAATTCATCTTTATAGCCGAGAACATTTGTATATGTTTTTTTTTTTCAATTTCTAAGAATTTTAAGCTGTCTCTGACACGCTCCAGCTGATGATTTAATACGTAATTGTCGCTCATAAGTGTATCGTTATATGTATAAACAAGAAGTCAAGTACACCTCACTAGGATGAATGACCAACCTATAGCAATTGCGTATATATTTACTGTGGTAGAGCCACGCTGTAATCCTATATGATATTGCAGCATGAATGGGACGGCTCGACCGGGGAAGTACCGACGCTAAGTGGTCGCACTTTTAGTGCCATCACATTCCGTATGGTGAGTGAGGGAGCCCGGAGGCCCATTCTATATCCATCCCTTTCCTAATCCTAAAATCCTTCCCCCAACGCCGTCCCCCCATCTTTCAATACGACCATGGCAGTGGAATTTAAAAAAAATAATATACACCACCTTGAATGCCGCGGCCGGCATTGCTCTTTCTAACGGAGACACAGATACCTCTTCAAACGAAACTTCATACCTGACGTACCCGGGCTATATACACTTGAACATTGTTTTGTTTCGCGTGCCGGTGTATGCGCGTATGTCAGAGAGGATATATGCTGTTGCCGCCTTGGAACTCTTCAAGGTACGGACCTGTCCATTTTATAGCCGCGCATAGACTGCAATGACCATCCTCGCATTTATGCATGCCTATACAGGTCTCACCCGACCCTGAAACCGACCAACTCATTGAGCACGTCCAAATGGCTACAGATTCCTTCCGCTGAAGTCGTGATTCTTGGCGATTTTAATGCCTACCATGCCGAATGGCTTGGTTCGCATACAACGGACTATGCGGGAAGATCTGTTCATGACTTTGCTTTAGCTTATAGTCTGACGCAGCTTGTTTACTCGCCTACGCGAATACCTGATGTGTTGGACCATTCACCTTCACTGCTGAACCTTCTGCTGACCACCCACCCAGACAACTATGTGATTTCCGTCGAAGCCCCGCTTGGATCGTCGGATCATTGTCTGGTGCGGAGCGAGGTGCCTCTCATAAGTCCGATTCCTCCTCGTTCTACGGGCAGACGTCGTGTTTGGCACAACAGGTCGGCATATTGGAATGAAATAAGGCTTTTTTTTAATCTTACCCATGGAGGCAGATATGCTTCACACTGGGGGATCCCGACGCCATCGCCGATGTGGTGCTTCAGGAAATGAAATTATTTATTCCTAACTCTGTAGTACCCGTCGGTGGGAAATCACAACCGTGGTATGGAGCCTCTTGTGTATGTGGTGTTACGAGATCCTAACATCAGTGCCCTTAAAAAGAAGTACAACTTTGCCTCTAGGTCTTTCAAAAGCGTTTTAGCCACAGTGAAGTCAGAGCATATTGGTAGAATTGGCAAGAGTTCGGCTAGTTTACCTTCGGGATCTCAAACTTTCTGGTCTCTTGCCAAAGCTGCATAAGGGAATTTCTGTCAGTCATCTTTTCCACCATTGCACAGGAAGGATAACTCATTGGCTCTGAACGCCAAAGATAAAGCCGATCTCCTTAGATCCCTCTTTGCATCAAACTCGAGAAACCACCGCCGTCCAATATATTACATATTATACAAATAATACAATACTTTAATTATTCTAGTCTACAGTATACAACCTAGGTTAATTGATTTATTGACTTTTAAATTAACTTAAGTTTTTTTTTTTATGCAACTTAAAATGGCAAACAAGAACATATACATAGATCCATGGATATAACAGAGTATACTGTATCGCCCATGATACCACCCATGCGTTGCCATTCCTGAGGACTCAGGTGTTATTCCTCTGTACCCTGTAAATTCAATGTCATATTCCCACCCTACAAATCGAAAGACAGCTACGCAAATACAACTGCTTCACGGTAGAAACACGAATGGGACAGAGGTGCCTAAGCCTCTGTCCCAAACTGTAACTGTCTGTGTAAACGCCTTTTATACAAAGTCGCCCTCTGATAATTGTTATGAAATTTCATAAGACATTTCAAAGAGGCGACAATCAAATAATCATGACTATGTAACCATTTATAATGGATTTATTTTATTATTTAGGGGGGGGGGGGGGGGGAGAAGAGGGGAAGATTTCTAAAAATCTGTTACATATAATATTCACATGCGTGAATATCAAATGTTCAAGAACTTGTTATTCTAAGAACGAAAACAATTGGGTAAATGTTATAGTTACTTTAATACTTAATATAAGGCGTATAACATTAATACTTAACAAAACAAAATATATATTATGTGTGTATAAATAAAGTTTTAAATTCATCAAGTACATAATTACGAGAGTCCTTTCAGAAAACTGGACAACTTGTGACTCTTGTAGTCGGAGCGTAGTTGTATGAAGTTGAGTAGGATGGAGCGATCCAACTCGGCCTGTGGACAAAAATTATTATAATTATTGTTATCACTATAATTTTATAAATATATCACTCTGGCGTAATATTTTTTTTTTAATAAAATAAAAGCTTAAAATTATCAGCAAGTAACATGGACTATATGTTACTTGCTGATAATTTTAAGCTTATTTTAAGCTTTCTATAGGTGCGTTTCTTTAAAATCGGTCAAGTATGTTTCGAGTTTATCCATTATAAAGAATAAAATTTATTTATAAATCAATTTAGATTTAGATAATTTGTATGTCGTTGGTATCGGTTTGGAACGCCATTTCTTTAAACTTAAAATCCCAATTTGATATTACAGCGAAATCTTTATTGTACGATTCAATATGTGTAAAATTTCTAATGTTTTTACTAGTTATTTGAATATAATTATTTTGTTAAATTCCGGTAACATTAGTATGTGTGTGACTGTCAACACTCGTAGATTGACCACCACTATTACTACCAGAAATTCCACAACCATCTATCATCATCATTTCAGCCATTATCCGTCCACTGCTGCACATAAGCCTCCCCATAGACTGCCATAAAGAACGGTCCTGAGTCACCCACATCCACTGACACCCTGAAATGCATTTCAGGTCGTCACTCCATTTAGCGGGGAGTCATCCTACACTGCGTTTACCTATAGGCAGTCGCCATTCTTCCACATCGGTTGTCGGTTCTTCGAGCTATGTGACTAGCCCATTACCATTTCAGCTTGCTTATCTTTCTGGCTATGTCGGTTATTTTGGTTCTTTTGTGGATATCCTCGTTTCGGATTCTGTTACACAAAGAGACCCTGAGCATAGCCCTCCCCTTAGCTCGCTGAGTAACTTATAGCTTTTGCATACGGGCAAGCGTGTAGAACCACGTTTCGGTTCCATAAGTCATCACTGGCAACACGCACTGGTTAAATACCTTCGTCTTTAAATTCTGAGGTATTTTGGATGAAAAGATGTGGCGTAGTTTCCCGAATGCTGCCAAGCCGAGTTTGATTCGTCGGTTGACCTCTCGGTCGAAGTTGGACTTATCTATTCAGACAACTTGTCACAGGTATACATACTCATCGACAACTTCGAGCGTGGTGTTCTCAATTGTAACCGGTATAGGTGTGACATGGACGTTTGACATGATCTTAGTCAACCTTCCATATTAGCTATCAATCTCCGACTGCCACTTACATTAACGTTTTGCGAATTCCATTCGCAGTTTAGGCGCCGAACGGTTAATACTAGGCTCCGAGTAGCGATCTAATAATTGGACTAAAGATGCTTCGTTAAGAGGTGAAACACGTGCAGCAAAAGGTGCGTGAATAAAATGGTAGTCGGAGATTGACGGAGTTTTTGGTATTAATAGAGGGTCAATCTTCGAGTGCTGGCAGTCACACACATACTAATGGTAGCGAAATTAAACAAAATAATTCTAATCAAGTAATCAGGGATATGAACTTCTGCAAGACAACACCTAGTTCAGTAAAATAATAGATTTAAGTAAAAAATATTATAAATTTAGTTCAAGCTTAGAGAAATGGCGCTCTACAGTTGACTCCATTGTAAAATTTCCACCGCACTCTTCGGTAATAAAAAACACCGACAAGAAACCAATTTAAATTCAACCAAGCTACGGCGGTAGGCTCTTCCACTGGTACATGGGATTTTAATATGCTCGGAAAAATAAGAGCTCGTTGAATGTTACGTTAATTGCATAGCCAATAATGGACAAATGACTCTGACTACCCTATTAGGGATTATAGTCGTGAGTACATTTATTTATTATTTTCATTAGTAAGAAATACAAAAAAGATATGGTACAACCATTATAACTTAAGACATTTTCTTGACTACGTCAATTTAGAAAATGAACTTGAAAACATATTAAAGAATAAAGTACAGTTCATAGATGGTACTAATAAAGAAGACACTGGGGGAAAAGGAATGTTAGTAATGCGAACTACCAGTCCTATTGCTAGCAATATACCCTGTCAGGTCTACCTCCACGTGGTTCCCCCTGGAAACCAGTCCAGATGTATTCATCACAATGGGCTAGCTGACCTGCCTTTTCATTCTGCCTATCATCCCTCACTGGCGTGGTTACTATTTTATTAACATCCATAAAAAAATTAGGAAGACTCTGACCAGCGACCGACCGACCAGGGAAAGCGATTGTTAGTAATGGAGACTGAGAATCCCATTGCTAGCTATATACCCAATCAGGTCGACCTCCTCACGGTTCTCCCTGGAAACTATCATGGTCAATTCCTGATGAATTCATCATGATGGGCTAACTGGCCTGTTTTTTTTTTCATTTTTCATCTATCACCCTTCACTGGTGCTCCGCCAGCGTATCCCGTTAGCGCAAGCGGGGTTACCATACCAGTTTCACCCATAAAAAAATAAAAAAAGACCAGTGACCACACTGTTTACAGAGTATATATAGTTATAAATAACAAATCGTGTTATGCGAAGGATTACAGTTCGCGGAAAATAACTTGACAAAAACATACTAGACAAAGAAGCCTACACGCTTTGGACGCTTTTGTATGCAAAATTGTTATGGCATAAGTCACGTGCTACAAAAATTGTATTCAAGTTATTGCCTGTATCTATACAGTTGAAATGGGCATATTATGAAAATTTAAAAACATATCTTTGAAGCAAATTATATTATTATTGTAAGGGTCACCATATAACATGATATCTTCGCCAATTTATTGTGAAAAGATTGTTTTTTTCATTTCAAGGAATGATTCAAATATTGATGGTGATAATAAGAGGAGCCTTTCAGTCCCATGCTTATTGATAAAGAAATTTTGATATATGTAATATTTACTCGTAGATAATATTCATAGTGAAATTTTTACTATCTTTGAAGGGGATGTGCGAAACTAAATATTTTCACCAAGAAAACATGGATTAAAAAAAACGATAAAAATTTTTAGCACCCAATAATAAGTTGATAAGTTAGTATGAGAGATTCGAAATTTTTTATGGTTTTTGAATTTTTGATTTAGGGAATTCGTGTTCTAATAATATTTATAGCAAGGATGCTCATAATTTTAATAATCGATCCCTTTCGGTGGTAATAAAAATGCGAAAACATTTTGCTTGTCAATAGAGTAAAAATAATTATAGCTAAACTAATACGATAATTTCAAAGAAGACATCTATACTTATAAAATAAGAAATATTTATTTGTATAAGAAGTTGTGACGAAAGTAAAAAAAAAAAGTTTAACAAAACGGACCATAGGCTGCTAATTGTCGACCGTTATTCTCATGGATAGATTTTAGCTTTACGATTTGTACGATATTTTATTGTACAGTACTGTAAAAGGTATACAGTTACAAAGAGCATATCACAAAATGGGAGGGCTGTTACTTGTAATAGATTATTTACTAATATATAAAAGGTATGTTTATCTATCGTAATGTTATTTCTCTGAAGTTTCCATAGAAGTTGCGCTAAACATCTATCTATATAAGGGCTACACACAGATTCCGCACAGTGCCGCTATCATGCAGGCTCTTAATGGTTCCCATTTAAGTTCCGCCATAGGATATTAAGCAGTTGTTGTTTCTATTTTTTTTGTTCTTGTATTTCATGCTAAAATAATTTTTGCCAGAGAAATAATTAAAATATAAAATAAAAAAAGCGTTTGAAACGATTTCTAAATAATGAATATATGATCATAACAGATACGGAAATTATAGCACAAAAGCAATATAGCGGAGCATCGCAAGGTTTGCCGTCTTTTGAGCCAATGTTGCCAAAAGCAATTTTTTATTTTTACCCAAATGTTAAATATTTTTTCTCGATCACAAATTTGTGTCGATTTTTTTTTTACGTTTTGCGATGTACCAGATAGCGAACGACGAAAAACTATCATCACGTTTCTATTTTTACCTTATCTTACCTTCTTCTTTTTCAGCTTTGCTACTTTGATTCATATGTTTCATTGTATTTATATGCGATTTAAAATTAGCAAAACTGTCAAAAAATCAGCCAAATTTCTCTAACAATTTCATTTCTCCAAAAAGTCGCAAACAATTTTTTATTGTAGAATTTCATATCGAAAATGAGGAAACAGGAATAATAAATATGAGAATAATCTATTTTTGAATTCTGTTAAAAAGTAACTAAAAGCCAACGACGAAAACAAAATTTCGCTTACTCCTACACTTTGGTACCGAACGGATATCCACATAGGAATATTTCTATTAATACAATTACCCTATTTTGTGCTATTAACAGTTAAACAAACTGTACTTATTATTATTAAAAAAATATCGGTAGAGAAAAATGGCAAATTTATTCCATTTGTCTTTACTGGTCACACAATCGCAGGGACAGATAAAAAAATGCACTCTTATGGCGCTAACTTAAATACTTCAAGATATTTCTTGAAATACGGTAACATAGCAGCAATTTCTCTAGAGTTGCAAGTACTCAAGGTGGCTGTAATCACTTGTCAGGTGAGTCGCATGCTCGTTTACCCAGTAATTAAATAAAACCCTTATTACGAACTTAACAAATTACTTACCAAGGTCTCCCCCTCGCAGACCTGGTGCAGGTTCTCCGGCTTGACCAGCAATAGGTTGCATAGCGCATGCAGCGCATCGAACAGCGCATGCGCGGGCGGCGGGGCGGCACGTGGGCCGCGGCCGCACACCGCCGATCGGTACTCCTTCACGTCGCAAATCGCTATCATAGCACCTGTATATATGTATATATAATATAATAATAAGGAAAAGTGGAAAAACGGCGATGGCCCTTACGCTATATCAAACCCGCAAACGTGATATAACACACAAAAGAATTTTGATCAAACTAATTATCCTTAGTAATATTATACTTGTAAATGTGAATGGGAGTTCGTCTGTTTATTTCTTGGCGCTTTAACGGTTCATCCAATCATAAAAAAAATTTATAATCACGAAGTTTGGGACGAAGGATATAAACAATTGTCGGAAACAGCAAATATAGTTAGTTCGTTAATTTTTTATCGCATATATATATATATATATATATATATATATATATATATATATATATATATATATATATATATATATATATATATATATATATAGACAGGATATAACTGTTTAAATCGATCAGTTATATCAAATAAATAAATCCCGGTTTACGCAGACAAAGCTGCGGATAAAAATTACTTTAAGCATTAATCTTATAGACTAATATAATTTAAATTTAATATTTATTATAAGTACAATTTTAAAGTTATACAGCTATCTTAACTATTTGTTACATTTTAATAGTTAAATTAATTATTGAATAAACTGGAATGAAAAGAGGAAATATTGGGAACGATTTTGTGCCGTCATTTCTTTACACTTATTTCTAAAATTAAAATTTCAATTTGATATCACAACGAAATCCTTATTGTAAGAACTAATAAGAATTAATTTTCTAATAGATTTAAATTCAATTATTATTATTTTAATTTATGACAGTTCATATAACAGTAATTGCGTAAACTATTCAATTTCAAATAATAAGTTAAAGAGATAAGTGTGGGCGATATTATGGACTGTATATTGATTTATATGATGTAATCAAACAATGGGTTTAAAAAGAAAATAACTATAATAAAGAACACTACGAAAGATAGACTACGACAGCAAAGAGTAAAAGTGACAATTGTAAAAAACAAAAGTATAAAAATTACAATAAAAATAGAATCTTTATTACACGATTAAACAACTGGACCGTCTCTTTAATTCGCAAGTAAGAAAATACTAACCGGCGGAATTAAACTGGAAGTTCTGTAAATGTTCATATATGACGCGGTGCAGCCGGATCGCTAGCTCGAGAGTGACTGCGTTCAGATTTTCACCCTCCAGTCCTTTGTGGATCTTATCCATCACAGAGTTGAGGTATGACACTACAGCTGTACACGCCTGCAGTAAATACAATCTGTATAGTAAACTCAAGACACATCTGACATTTTATTTTTGTGACAAGAAAAAATGGCGGACACATAAACACTGCGTATCTTCAATAAATAGGTAAATTCGATTTATTAAGGTTTCATTGTTAAAAGTTTCGTAAGTACACATATTTAAATATAATGCTTAAGGGTCTTTTTTTTATACGATTTAGAATGACAAACAAGCTGACGGCCCACCTGATGGAAAGTGGTAACTATCGCCTATAGACATGAGCAGTACCATGGACATAACAGAGTATACTGTTTCGCCCCTGATACCCCCCATGCGTTGCCATTCCTGAGAACTCTGGTTTTATGCCTCTGTACCCTGTAAATTCACGCCATATCCCACCCTTCAAACCGAAACATAGTCATGCAAACACAACTGCTTCACGGTAGAAAAACTAATGGGACAGAGGTACCCAAGCAATCGACTTTTGTACAAAGTCTCCCTCTGGTGGTGGGTTCCGGGTAGTCGCGAAACTAGTCAATTTGTTTCAACTAAAATACACGTAAATTAATCCGGTAGTTATTACATTAAAAAAGACATTTTATGTGTGGGCCACATAATTGAATTTAATAAAAAAAAAATGAAAACAGTCATTACAGACTATTAAAAAAAAAATGAAAAAAATACGAGTATCTATTATTGGGATACTAGAATAAACTTACAGTAAGTAGTTTATTGGCACAAAATTTTAAGTTAGTCACGCCATCTCGTGGCCATAGCATACCACAGATAAATTATAAAATTTTACCTAAATGATCACATGAAGTTTTATAAATTTTAAATACAATACTATTAAATAAGATTCTGTATTACAACAAAAAAGACTTGTCCTGAGGATCATTATGATGTATGATGATGAATTACAACAGTTTCAGTGAAGATTTCATTAATTTACCGGTGAAGCGAGCGTATCGATATCGCCTTCTGGTTTGTAATCGGTTTTCTTCTGCTCTGTCTGTAGATGCAACTTCACCCAGCTCACTATGGCGGATATGGCGCGCTCCAATCCTGCGTCCAATTTGTTTTCCAGTTGTTCCATTATGGCAGTTTTTCGTTGGACGCACTCGTTTTGTTTTGATGTTGAACTGTAGAATAAAAATTTAAAAAAAAAAATTAAAATACGTTCATTAACAAAAAGAAATAAAAGAGCTTAAATAGAATATTAATTATATCAGCATTTATACTGAGTTACATTATGAAAAGTCTGCATTACCGTCAGTCGTCAAACTAGGTTAGATCTGTATCTTGGAGACTAATTTAATGTTAAATATCTAATAAAAACCCTACATATGACCAATCGGGAACTTAGGCATATTTTTTTCATTTAACCCTTCTAATTATAAAATTATTGTGTGTATTATAAAATAGACAAATTCTGGCTAAGTATGGCTGAGCAGAAACCATTTAAAACTATCTAGTCCCAAATAAAACTAATTAAAATAATAAAATTTAATAAAATTAAAATATAAAAGGATTATCCAAATCAGTTTGGTATGAGTGAGGGTATGAGGTAACAAACATTAAAAAAAGAAAAACATACAACAAAATAATGGGTAAATACATACCTCAAACAAGGTAAGACAGATTCTTGAAAATGTTCACCAAACAGCTTTACAATTGTGTTAGCTTGCTTCACTATATCGAAAAAGTAAATCTGAAAAACAACGAAACTGCTTATTTTACATTGTATAAAATAAAAAATATAGTTTGTAGCAAAATAATTCGAAAAAAAAAATAGAATAAATGCGGTGGAATGCGAGCATAGCACAAAATTTGCGGAATAAGGTAGTCAAACCGCTTTCATAATTGAATATTGCGAGAGCGAGTTGGTGTGAAGGAAATTATTGCTTTAACAATGAGAAAATGATGGTTCAGATATGTGGAAAGAATGTCACATATAATTCAAAAGTGAAGAACAGTATCCTTCTATATTAGTGGCTAGACTAACATTCTAATACCAGATAGATTGTGCACTATTAAAGGCCAGCAACGCACAAGCAAGTCTTCTCGTGTTGCAGGTGTCAATGGGCGATGGTAACCTCTTTCCATCAAGTATTTTTTTTTTTTATATTTTTAATGCAATTCACTTATAATCGTATTTTCTGATATTGCTCACAACTTGGATTACATGTTTGTTTTTATTATTTACTTCATTTTCTCGCACTGTATAACTATGTTAAAGTAAATGCTGTGAATACCTATAATAGGCATGAGCATTAATATTGTATTATATTTAATGTTTGTTATACCTATATGTTATAATGCAATATGCTGTTGGTGTTCCTTAAATAAATAAATAAAGTGAACCGCCTGTTCATTTGCTTTCCTAATAATAAAAAAAAAACTATCCGAGAGACAATTTCTGTATTTCTGAAACTGGTATGCAAGCATGAGATGAGTAAATGAAGACAAAAGACGTAAGGTTCGACTTTTGGCACTCAGTATTGTCTCTGCCTACCTTGCAAGGGACTTGGCGTAATTATAGATTGAAAGATGATTTACCTGCGGTGGAGATTTGCTTTCTGCAATCGGTATTGATTGAAGTCCAAGATCAAGCGCATAATCAACATGTTCTATTAGTAAATGTTGGATCAACACCTCAAATAGTGATGTGGTTGTGCCCGGTAATTCATTAGGTGTACACAGCTGAAATGAGAAATTTAATATTCCTTTGGTAAATAGCTGTTTTATTCATAAATGTGTTGTTTTATATTTAGATTTACATATAATCTGTATATTTTACCAATGCATATGCATGGGCCCCTCTATTCTACTAGTTTTCTGCTGTCTAGCAACTGTCCTTATATATGTACAGTCGTTTCGATTTTAATGGGGGAATACAGTAGTAACATTTTTTTTTATACAACTTAGAATGGCAAACAAGCTAACGGCCCATGTGATGGAAAGTGGTAACCGTCGCCTATAGATATGAGCAGTACCATGGATATAACAGAGTATACTGTATCGCCCATGATACCACCCATGCATTGCCATTCCTGAGGACTCAGGTGTTATTCCTCTGTACCTAGTAAATTCACGCCATATCCCACCGTTTAAACCAAAACACAGCTATGCAAACACAGCTGCTTCACGGTTGAAATACGAATGGGACAGAGGTACCCAAGCAATCGAGTTTTGTATAAAGTCTCCCTCTGGTAAAAATAATTATGCTACCGTTTCCACTTCCTATCAAATGTCTCGTTAACTTTGCCTTGTGGGGGGTTTTGCAAGTAGTTGCTATGCTTGGCAGGTAGGATTGGCAATCGCAGTTAGGCTTTGGTGAAGTTTTAAGAGAGACACTGCTGCCCATTTCTTGGACAGTATGTTCCTTTAGTCGTCTCTTACGACACCCACGGGAAAGCAAGAGGTAGCCCATTTTATGCCGGGATTACATGGCGAAAATAAGATAGCTGGTTTTATTTGCTATGCCTGATAGTCTCTAAATAAATATGATCATGATGAGGACACTATTCTTTCAACTCAATATTGGAAATACTTATTCAATTAACTTGACAGTTTCAAAAAATTACTAAATGTAAACTGAATCAAGAAACGGATCGTAGTGGAAGAGCACAGTATACTCTCTACTCCTTATAAAAGACAATGATGGAAAGTATTTTTATATCAATGTAAATATTTCACAAATCGTTATCAACTTACAGTTTTACACCTCAAGAAGGACGTCTTAGCGTCGCTGAGCATCTTTTGCACTAGTTGCTCGCTGAGAAATGTCTCTCCGCCGTAATTCTCTATTTGGGCGATATTTATATTAGCACGGGTACCGATCACTGCCTGCAGATCTCGTCGGAGCTCTTGAAATCTAAAAATATTAGAAACATTTTCATATGAAATCATAATGATTTATCGCGTGGTCCCGGCATAGAATGGACCACCCCTTCCTTTTCCGTGGGTGTAGTAAAAGGCGACTAAGCAAAAGACAGCAGCATTCCTTTTAAAATATCACCAAAATGTAATTGCAGTTGCCAATCCGCCTGCCAAGCATGGCAACTACTGCCAAAACTTTTCTTTGTGGGGAATGCCTATGTTCAACAGTGGAAAATTAACGGCTGATGATGATATAAATAAACATAACCGATTTTACAGACGAAATCGTTGATACGTGCCAAATAGATGTCAAAAACTATGTGGAGAAAAAATTCTATGAATTAAATTAATCATGACCCGTCATACTTGGAAATGAGTAGTAGATAAATATTCCAATCTATGGATTGTAATATGGTATAATATAGGCAATTTATGCATCAAAAATATTTTGTGAAATTTTTGGTTCTGAAGTCACATCAATTTAATAATAATTTATAGTCACAAACTAGTCATGTAAAACTCACCCGCCTCCCTGTATTTGCTTCTTAACATGCTGCTTCTCTGTATAATATACATTGAGTGCATTAGATAATGCTGCCTTCAATCGTCGATTCTCCATAGCTGAGTAACCATCATTGGCGCCGGCCATCGCCCCATTCACCAAGGCTTCACGGCGGAGGTCTCCGATAGCGGCATTACCTTCTGCCGATATAAAACCAGCGGCTACTAGCTCGTCGCATACACGTTGAGTGCTGAAATTTTGAATATTGTTTTCATTAAGAATGGTATATATGTTGAGGTCCACCTGATGAAATTGGAACAGTGGATGATTGATATAGACTTTTCATAGAAGTCACGCACATCTAGCAGATTCTACTGACAGTTATTGGTTACTTTTCAGACCAAAAAATACAAATTTGAACGAAAGAATTGTAAGTATTGATGATTTAGCCTTCCTAGACAACATACAAACGAATCTATTGATGAAATCGTTATCGCTAGCGAGTCCATGAGATAGAATGAGACGGCAACGTGCACTGTCTTGTTCTTTCTCATCTGAGCGCTAACTGAAACTATTCTATCGATAGATTCGTTTGTACCTTATCTAGGTGATAGGACACAATGTTCAAGACCAGTACATTGTTTAGATTTTTATTTTTTATTAAAACATTATAAAATTGAAACTTTTGTATATAATTAAAATATTTATTTAGTAACAAGCCCAATTTTTACGTTATGACAGTATAACATCAAGGCCAAAGGTGTTATATGTATGATATATGATACAATATAATATTTAAAATTTCTTGTTACTACCTGTTTTCAATAGTTTTGTCTGTATAAACCAATTTCTTATATGTTAATTTAGGATGAGGACAACATGCATATCAAGTAAAATTGAATAACACATACAATATACATACCTGGTATACATGTCGTATAAATTCCTCAAGTACTTGTCAACATCATTTTTATCAGCCAGTTTGGTTTGTATGTATTTCTGTAGTTTTAAATGGAAGATGTTCAGCACAAATTTACTCAGCACTTGCTCCGGATTAGGGAATACATTGCTGATAATTGTATAATTCTTTTGGCATAGTGGCAATACAGCAGAGAATATGTCCTTTCCTAGTAAACTATTCTGTAAATAAATATTGGATTAAAATAGTAATTAGATATATTCCTACATAGAAAAAGTGTAAAAGCTATTTTGTGTTCATCTCAAGTCCTTTATTGCAGAGTAACCAGTACAGTTTTAGACTGTGGTGTGAATATATTTAGTATGTAATTAATAATATTAATATATAAATTGTCTGGATATAAATAGTATCATATGTAGTAGAACACATGACATAACACTACTTAGTCTTAAATTAAGAAGAGCTTGCGCTAGAGATACTATTTTTTTTTTAAATATACTATATAATATGATCAACCATTTACTGTCTCCTGCTGAACATGGGCCTGCCCCTATTGGGGGGTTATGCTAGTAGTTGTTACTCTTGGCAGGCGGTTTGGCAACCACAGTTAAACTTTGGTGGTGTTTTAAAAGGGGCATTCGAAAAGCTATACAATATACATTCAAAAGTATCCAAGCTGATATATACAGATTTACTTGTGAATATAAAAGTTTTTATTGTATGGAGATCATACTGTGCAGATTGTACAGTAAGAAATCAGAATTCATGGAACACTTAATGTGCCCTAGGATTCATTGGAAAGTATGCATACGAGTCTACTGAGAATGGCTTATCCAGAGCCAGGGGACTACAGATAACTTAAACTGTGGAATATCATTAAGGTAAGACATAGGATCTATAAAATGATGGTATAAGGCAGAGAGAGCACACTAGATTCCGATGTATCGACATGCAATGGATTAACTGACTCCATATGTGAATAGAAGTTTGTATCAGAAATTAAACCCAGTCATTGAAAAGATAAGTAGCATGACAAACTGCTACACTACCAAAGTTTGAATTTATTTACTTCATGTACTTAACATTTAAAAACATACCATTTGACTAGTTTCAATAAATGCATCAACACATTGTGAATATCCTTTAAAGTTAGTCATAATGTTGGCTATATCTTTCATTTTGTTTAAATTGTTTTGGTTCTGTGCCTTCACAAAACCCTCTATGAGGTTCCTCTCTATTTCATCATACTTGGCTTCGATCTTCTTTTTTGCTACTTCAAATTTGTCCGGCGGTAGTTCTTGCGCAATTGTGTGTAATTTTTGAATAACATCTGCTGCTTCATTTAGCTGTAAAAATTATCACAAATTATGTTGCATAACAAAATTATAAAAAGTAGTTTATGCAATTGAGTGGGGAAAATAATTCTGTTTTAAATCTAATAAAGATCTGATCATTAACTGATCTGCTTATTTAAATAGTATAAACAATGCCCTTTATTTTGTTAGGATAAATAATATTAATGTACATATATAGGATAGATAAATAAAGAAAAAGAGTTAAGCATCACATGACTAAATAAGACATCTTCAGGTAAATTATTAAATTGTTGCTCAGAGCCTAGTGTTAACTGGTCAGCACTTTAACTTGGAATTAAACTAAAGGTGCATAACCTTTGTGAAATCACCATTAGAGATATATAATTACGAGAGAGGTTTGATGTAAATAAATAATAGTAATAACATAAAAGCATAAGTTTACCAATTGTTATATATTTAAAACAGCAAGATTTTTCTTACCTTATTTGGATCATTGAATAAATCTATAAGTACTGGTCCAGGACTCAAGAAATGTGCCAGGTGGGACAGGAGATCTCTAGCAGCCGCTGCTCTAGCTCTCGGGGCTCTTGCAGCACCAAGTTTCTCTCCAACATCCAAGGCTCTTCCTCCACATCGAGACATCCTCTCGTCCAGTGTGCTGAATACATTTACACAATGCTGGAAATGAATGTTTAATAGATGAATAGAAATTAAGTTTCATTTATTTTTATTTAAACTACTGTTATAAAGCCTACAGTCTTCATTATTTGTTGTAATGGATTAACAAAAAAATACTGTTTTTATAAATTCTTCCACCTATAAAAATCTACATTATCAGCAAGTAACATGGGCTGTATTTTATTATTTTATTTAGGTGTACAAAATTTTGATGCCTAATCATTATACTTGAAAAATTAGAATAAGTTTTATAGTTATTAAATGTTTATTTTCTTTCTTAATTAATGTAAAGTAGTATGTCAACTGCTATTAATGTAACTAAGTGTCTACTCATGGTGACTTTATTTTTTATTTATTAATATAAATTATTTTAATAATGGAAAATATGGCAGTATTTGGAATACATTTTAATTTTTGAAGATAGGTATAAAGGACATTCAAATAACTTACTGTATGTTGATCCATAATTTCTGAAAGCTTGGTGTTATACAATTTTTCTTCTTCTTGCACTGCTTGTTCTAATCTGGCACATTTCCTTTCCTGTCTTTCTTGTAATACCTAAAATTTTTTAATGATTCATATTATCATTAAAATAAAAGTATTTGTTTAATAATTTGTGCTACAAAATTATATAGATTTTTTTATTTAAATACAGTGATACCATTAATCCATTCTAGCTCCCAAAAAACCACCTCAGTTGTTTTTTAAAATGAAAAATGTATTTACAAGTAGAAATATTTATTTATAAGGCCCTTGATCATGTTTTTCTATGATTTCACACTTTAGTTTAATATACATCATCTTAAGATCCATGGATATAAAAATAAATGTGTTAATATTTTGTAATTGAACAAAAAGCAAAAAACCCAAACCCAACTTATCAAAAATACGTTCAAAACGAGGGAAACAAGCACACAGACTGAGGTCTAGTCTAAGGTGGGAGATAGTGTTAGACATTGCACACGACACCAACATGTGCCAAGAATATTATTTTTTTTAATGGTTGATAACGGAGACATAACCCTGCCCACACTATCAGTATATGCTGGCAGGCTACCAGTGTGATGGATGATAGATGATGATGAAAGCATGTCAGTTAGCTCATTATGACAAATTCCACTAAAATTAACCATGATAATTTCCAGGGGGAACCATGTGGAGATTAACCTGATAGGGTGTATTGCTAGCAATGGGTCAGTTAGACCCTATTACTAACAATCCCTTTCCTCACATGTAGGGGTTGCGTGCAGTGGTGTAGTGTGTGATTCCTTATATCTCAAATTTTGCTCTCATCTCAAAGCAAAATATCGCTCGTTTGGCAGCTTGTATCTCAAGACACTCATATATTAGGGCACTCGTATATCGAGGTACCACTGTTATGTGATGATTTTACCAATTTCAATTGAATATTAATTGCAGAGAAAAATTAACAAGAAACTAAGCAATCACATTCTTCAGCATTAACATTTATTATATTTATTTTAAGTAAAATTTCCATTCATAATAAATAAATAAAGCTTCCCTACCTATAATATTAAATATAAAAAAAAAATATTGTTACGAACTTTTGTATGGAAATATAAATCCCATAAAATGTAATATTTAAAATTTGCCAAAATTAAAAAATGAGTAATTATCAAAGAATAGGATTTAATTGGATCCAAATACTTATCACATATTTACAACTACTTGTTTAGATAATATATTTTTGAGAATGCATAAGAATGTTTTAAATACTAGCTTGACTTATTAGAAATAAGTATGGAATTTTATTGCATTTCCTTTTGTGCTGCATTTTAGTCATCGGTCACCATCACCAATCACCAGTCGGATAATATAGCATTATAAAGAGGAAAATTTAATAGTTTATTTGTAATGTTTTGTACATTATTCCAACCCAAAAAAATATTTAAGTAATGCTAGTTACTGATAACTAAAAAATTCCGGGATTTTTATGTATGATTTTAAAATAATTGGACAATACAAAATTACAAAAATCAAGATGCTACTAATTGGGGGGAAAGGGATTGTTAGTATTGGAGACTGAGAATCCCATTGCTAGCAATATACCCAAACAGGTCGACCTCCTCGCGGTTCCCCCTGGAAACTATCATGATTAATTCCTGATGAATTCATCATGATGGGCTAACTGGCCTGTTTTCATTCTCATCTATCACCCTTCACTGGTGCTCCGCCAGCGTATCCCGTTAGCGCAGGCGGGGTTACCATACCATTTTCACTCATCAAAAAAAAAAAAAGACGCTACTAATATCAATTATTTTTACCTTGAGATCTTGAATAGCTTGAGTAAATATATCATGTATCATTTCCGGGTCGAATTCGTCATCTTGAAGCCTTGATTCCTGCATGCTGCGTCGGACCATCCTCTCAACGAACTCATCAGGATTAAATGGATCCTAGAAAATGACGATTTGTGAAAATTGTTTGTAGACATTTTAATACCAGATCTAAGTTAATTCAGCTTACTTGTTCCAATTCCTTTATATATTGGTTCATCATCTTGTTGAATTCTATTAATAAAACTTATATAAAAAGAATTTAATACGTATAAAAAATTAAATGTTAAATAAAAACGCCTACTTATTTATTAGCGATTATGAATGTTCAATTTAATTTTATTTTTCTACACCGATATGACAGATTAACTGTAACGACAACAAACACATTCATCCAACAATGACATTGACAATGTTAAGTCAATCGTTTGAAGTTGACATTGCAAGATAGGTCCCGAAACGTAGAAACAAAGAAAAAGCCTACTACAAAATCGTTACTTCCTTTAAAGTTTACTCACCTATTATTAAGTAGCCCGTAGACAATATAAAGCACTTGTATAGCCACCTCAATTTAACGTCTTGTAACGGACTTTTTTATACACAAAATGTTCTCTTTATCTCTAACTATGACGATACTGTCCTTGATCTATGTATGATCCACGAGCATATGATATGATCTCATGACTTAATATCTAGGAATAAGGAATAACAACTCCGAAATCTTTGCATAATGCTTAGTATATTATAATATTATCGGTGCTTATACTGTGGTTTAAACTCTATTTGGTTTGTATAGATTAAAAATAGCATCGACATTATTTTCTGTGTAAGTTTGTAATTGTGCATAAATAAGATAATAATGGTAATCCCGCCTGCGCTAATGATATACGCTTGCGGGATACCACAGGAGGGATAATAAACGAGGAAGAAAAGGCAGGTCGGTTAGTCCATCATGATGATTACACCTGAAGGGGGGGGGGGGAAGATAGTAATGGGGAGATTAGTCCCTATCGCTATCAATATATCCTATCGGGTCGACCTGCAAGCGGTTCCCCCTGGAAACTATCGTGATTAATTTATCGTTAAATTAGTCACGATGGGATAACTGACCTGCCTTTTCATCCTCACCAATCATCCGTCACTGGTACCTCGTCAGTGTATACCGATAGCGCAGGCAGGGTTACCATTCCATTGTCATCCATAAAAAAAATCTAGTACGTATATATATATATATGTATATAGTGTATATGTTTATTCATCTAAACTAATATTATAAAGGAGAATGTTTTAAATTTTTGTGTATTTGTAATGGATAAACTCAAAAATTACTTACACGATTTTAAAAATTCGTCTATAAAAAGCTTTATTATCAGTTATCATAGTATTATTAGCTCAATTATTATGTAAGTATAAACTTTTTTAAAAAATATTACAGGCGTTACATGAAAATTATTTTAATTTTAAAAACAAAAGAAAAAAACTTCACTAATGTAGCATATACGTCTTTTTGGAAGATTTTGTACTACTAAAGGCGTTTTTGTATCCAAATTCTTTGTGATGTAATATTTTATACAAAATCTTGTGCGTGTTTATTATATACATTTTATTTAATATTGATACACACTCTTTGATGAGAGTTAAGTGGAAAACTTGTACCAATTGGAGAGATAATATTTTGACAGTAGGGCGATTGAAACTTTGGACATATCGTTAGTAGTGAGATGTCCAATGTATCCTAAACGGGTTAGGATAAAGACTATAAAGCTCCATGGCTGAGCGCCTCAGCCCTCGAAGCTCCGAGGTCAACGCCTTGGAACAAAGAGGCTATCTCATCGGCAAGAAAATCGGACAAGGCTCTTACGCTACCGTTCATCTCGCAAAGTACTGTGATGCATCCAGTCCTAAACAGATGCACCTTGCATGCAAGATATTTGATAAAGAAAAAGCACCACGGGATTTTTTAGAGAAGTTCTTTCCCCGCGAACTTGATATCTTGACAAAAATAGAGAATCCCCACATCATTCAGGTACACAGCATATTACAGAGGGGTCCAAGAGTTTTTATCTTTATGCGGTATGCAGATAATGGAGATTTATTGGATTTCATAAAAAAGAATGGTGTTGTGCATGAAAATCAAGCGAAACTCTGGTTTCGGCAGATGGCTAGTGGGTTACAGTACCTACATAGCAAGAATATTGCACATCGTGATCTTAAATGCGAGAATATACTGCTGTCAAGACGCTTCAATGTGAAACTTGCAGATTTTGGATTCGCTAGATTTTGTACAGATGGCGAGAATCGACGGGTGCTTAGTCAAACGTATTGTGGATCAGCCGCCTACGCAGCTCCAGAGGTGGTGAGCGGTACTCCGTACAATCCGAAGCTTGCTGATGTGTGGTCTCTTGGTATCATTCTGTTTATAATGCTGAATGCATCGATGCCTTTTGATGACTCGAATCTACGTAAGCTCCTTAAAGATCAGATGTCTCGCAACTGGGTGTTTCGTTCCAGAATACGGGATACCGTGTCAGCGGCCGCCAAGTCTATCGTGCGGCATATTCTCGAGCCGGATATTACGTTGAGGTTGACTTTAGACCGAGTGCTGTCTCACGAGTGGACGAGACCGCGTAAGGATAAGAGTGTGAGTTTAATGGGAAGGTTGGTGCAGTCGGCACCATCGGCTCCGCATTCGCCAGGTAAGTGTGAGCACGACGAGGCCGGCACGTCGGCTGGTGCGCGCGTCTCTGGCGATCACCGTGAGACAGAGCGAGAGCGCCACGACGACATCAATATGCGCTCACATGACTGACCAACTGCAGATAAGATATATTAATACTACTACGCAAAAAGTGTAATATTCTCTTATGTTTCGACCATCAAAAATAAAAAATTCACATTAATATTTTTATATATATTTTTTTACAATTGACGTATTAACTATTGTTAATCGCCAATAGTGAAAATAAAGTTTTATATAAAATATTTTATGCATTGTTTTCTTTAATCATTATTTAGACAAGATTGCCGCTTCAAAATTGAATAGTAGGTATTTTAGTAATTTCAGGTCCGATTCCCACCGTTATGATTCTATTCTAATTGTTAAACAGCTGTACATACTTGCGTGGCTGTATTTTAGTTATGGCAGTAGAATTACAGGGAACGAAGGGATAGAACTATTAATTTTTAAGAATGGTAACGTATAGTTAGGTAACATTTTTTATCAGATTCAGTTTGTTTCGTATTCTAAGCATCATAAAAAAAATATAAAGTATTATGTCTTGCGAAATAGGTGTATTTTGTTTTCAGAAGATATTCTTACGATCATATCCACCTTTCTACTCTTAAATTTCAAGAAGGTAGGGTTTTAAGTAATATCTATTAAAATTTGCGTTATTATCGTTTTATTTTTTTGTACTTTTTATTTTTATTCTATTCAGACACCATTTTATGCCATTGTTTGTATCTTCGACATGTTGTTAAATTGAGGGGCATGGAAAACCCGGGAATTCCAACTGGCATATCAAGAAAAGGAAATTCTATATTATATGTTAATATCATTGTGCGGGGTTCAAAATTGACCGTCACTCTTGATACTGGATTAATATATTCCGTCCTCAAATATGTTAATCTCTTCTCCAGGTTAGGGTTATGAGGATATGAATAAAGGAAAGTATTTGTAATAAAATTAATAACTATTTGAGTATTGCAGGGAATTCTTAGATCTTGTTAGCAGGGAATTTATCTAACTATAATATAAACAGCCTATCCACTGTTGCGTATAAGACCTTTTATCGCGGGGCTTCTTACAGTTCTATGCTCTTTTTGCATCTATTGCTTCTAACAGTATCTGCTTACATTATGTTATCCCAACATCGTGTTGGTGGTAGGCATAGTAAAATGTATTTAAAAAATCTCAAGACAAGTCTAAAAACCTTTTAATATCTCGTATCTAATTAAAATTCCAAACTTGTATGTTATAAAGTATCAATGTGGATAATATTCTTAAATATTTTTTTTTTAATTTTTACGTTACGAAAATCAAAACTATTATAGTTTTGTTTTTCGTTCCAATATAAAATAAACAATTTCAGACGTTTAGGCGTCTCGTCTTTTCCTATTTCCCAAAACGAATGTCTTAAAATTTACCAATGTTGATAAATTACTACTGATGTAAGAATGTTTCTACAGCAACATTATTAGATTTTTATTCCAGACCTTCAAGCTGAAAAAAGTTCAAATTGAAAACCCTTCACAGAATACCTGATTTTGTTCTAAAAGAGTTGTAGAATATTTCAACCCATAGATATCGCGTATGCATTCGCGTATATTTTTATATATATATATATATATAATGGTTTAAATATTCTTGGTATCCAAAAATATAATAGACCATTATAACTTGCAAAAACTTTTATTAACAAATGTTGTACTTTGTACTTTTAACTGACGTGAAAGGTGGTATGTACCCATTGAAAAAATAGGATTGTATTTCACCGTTTACCTGCCGTCTTTGAAACAAACAAGACAATTTACGAAAGCGAACGACGAAGCTCGGAATAGTGCGAACAATGAATGATCAAGTGTTTCTGAGAATATTATATCAAATACAAGTATACGTAAAAGGGTACCGATACGACATCATAACCTTCAAGAAAAGACCATATTCCTTTTGACTGAGGTTTTTTAAAAAATGTAAATCGAATAATATTTAATCTCGCCTGTACTGTATTGGTATTAAACTAGCGGCGATTATTAATAAAAATTCCTTCCTCATTATAGCTAGCTGTCAGGTCGACCACCACTTAGTCTCGCTTCAAAATCGGCATGGTTAATTTCTGACGAATTAGTCACGATGGGACTCCATCTACATCGTTCATCAGTTTCATCTTCATCATTCACTGGTGATTAGCCAGCGTATGCCAATAGCGCAAGTAGTTTTGTAATTTTATTTTCACAATAAATAATTATACCCATGACAGGCATAAAGTAGCGCCTAAAAAAATCTTATGATATATTTATTTATATAATTTAATATATTTATAAACCATAACATCTAATGAATTTCCATCGTCAAAAATAATGAGAATCAACATAAAAATAAATGTTAAAAATCGAAACAGTAAATTGGACACGAACATGTTTATTCATAATTTGATGTTGGGAAAAGAATAGGTACGTTTGTACTGAATTAAAATTACAAAGTGTTTAATTAAATTTTAATTTCAGATACCGAGTGTATGTAATCAAATTCATGTAAAATAATTAAATTGGTTTGGAACTTTATTTATTAATTTGTTGATTTTTATATTATTTATATGTATATACGTATTAAATGTAATAAAAATTGTTTATATATTTTACTATTCTATCACGCCAAGTCTCTTGTGGGGTAAACAGAGAAAAGTATATGCCTAAGACTCAAATTATTATTTACAACTCTTGCTACCTCGACTTTTATAATTCATTTCGTTATAGTTAGTGGTAAAATAGGGATAAAGACTAGAATAAGCAATCAGTAAAGTAATAAACTATAATCTAATTACTGATGCTATTAGTATCTAAATTGGACTTAATTTCTAAATCGTTTCTTGTACTTTAAATTGTTTGATTATATTTAAATTATTATTGTTTCTTGTAACTCACTTAACCCAATTATAGGTATGTACCTGTCCACACATGCGTAAATTAACAATTAATAGACGGAACAACTAATAAATTACATGCGTAAATATTAAAAACTGTGGTTAGACAGTTACGATATAAATAAAGTCAATATCAATTGAAGTAATTTATTAGTAGTTAATAAATACAATATATTGATAAATTAATAGTAGATTTACATTACTTTTTATTTAAAAAATAAATATATACAAAATGAATTTTATACAATTCGGTTACTTACAATACTCATTTAGAGAAATATATACTTTTTATAACTTACTGCAAAAGATTACATATTATTATTATTGAAATTACTATTTAGACATTAATTTTAAAAGTATTATTATCGTGTGTAAAATTAATAACTAATTAATTACTTTATAAATTATGTATGCGGTATAAATTGAATAAAATAGACAAAAAAAAATTGTAGCAGAGGTTTCCAATTTTTTTTTATAACACCAAGGTGGCAATCAAGCATACAGCCTTTCTGATGGTAAACGATCAATCACTGTAGCTTATAGACGTATGCAACACTACAGGTGTCACGTTTCAATTATCTAAACGATCGACACACCCTTGGCAATAATTTGGTAGCTGGAAAATGTTATTTGTAAAAGAGAATATTTGAGTTTAACTTGGTTATATGTTGAATCAAATTCAACCTTAGGTGGAGCAAAGGCGTCCACTATTACTTTTACATAAGTGACTTTTGTTCCCATTGGTATCTGTAAAAATAATTATTAGGTAGATAAATTATACAATTTCACCAAAAAATTATTTAGTTGTCCTTCTTAATCTTCTAAGTTCTTTATGTGATGCAATGAACCAAAGAAATAGTGTATTGTAATAGAGATAACACTTGTACAGGAGGTTTGTATTTCTTAAGTTTCATTTCATATGTATTACTTATATGAAAATATTCATATGTATTATCATATGAAATTTCAGTGAAAAGGTATAAGTATGAATAAATATTATTGAACAAATTACATAATGGCATCTATTCCGGAACTAAGCTTTTTATTTATAGGTACTAGACAACTTATAGGCATACTGTTGGTTTTTTTAATCTACATATAAATAATTAAACATTGTCTTCCATAAAATAAACCGATTTTAATTCTGAAAAAAAAAACAGTTGTTTTGATTTTAAAACTAAAGCACTTAAACGATTTTGATAAAATTTATAAGCGACCAATCTGTAAGTATATCCTTTTATATAAAAAAAAAATCATTTTCCAAATCGGTTTCGAACTGATAGAGTTATAAGATAACAAATATAAAAAAAATAATCAAATTGAGAACTTGCTTTTTTTAAGTCGGTTAAAAATAGAACAATATAAACAGATTTATTCATGCATACAAATGTATTATATATAGCTTATTTTAGGCTCTTAACATTAAAGTCAATAATAATTAAGGTATGAAATTTCTTACGGGTAGATTTATTTTTTTATTATATTCGAAAGCCCCAACGTTTCCTGCTTCGCTACATAATACTAGTCCTTGGTCAATACCTAAAAATTACTAACAGATATAAAAAATTGTAGACTAGCGCATAGTACTAGAGTTAGATAAGGTATCTAAAGTAGTTAAAAAAATAAAAATCGCAACAAAGCTAATAAGTTTATTAAGCGATTAGGATAGACCTACTTTTTTATGTACCTAATTCGAAATGGAAAACAAGTGGCCCAACTGCGAAAAGTGGTAGTCATTGCCTATAGACATGAACACTAGCATACACCATGATAATTTTCTTGGGTAGAGAGTTTCATTTCAGTTTATATAAAGACAGTTCCTCCGACTGTATTTATATAAATTGAAATGAAGTATTTTTTTACATACATAATATAAAATACAGGGTTTTAATTTTAGACTTTATAGACAGTGCATCAAGTCTCAAAAACTGATTAACTTTTTGTCAGCTAATTGTCAAATTAGCTGACTCTTTTTATTTATCAAGGTTCTATATAGTTATGCATAAAATGTGTCTTGATGAATTATTTAATAAATAAAATAAATAGTTATAAAATAAATATTATAAGACAATTTATTACGCAAAATTTTATGAAAAAGTAGACCCGTTTTTGTCGAAGCATTTGTATGAAGACACTCTATCTATATAGTCTAAGGTTTTAACTTTAGATACTTCAAAAACAAGTATGGCCATAATAATGTACTTACCAAATTCAAAAACATATTTTTCTCCCGCCACAACACCAATAAAAACCACCAAACATATTAATTTTCCAACCATCTTGTTACTTACAGTGTGGTGGCTTTACTATAAGAAACTAATATTATAATCTTGTTATCTACTATATATTATAAGTAAACGTCAGCGTGAATAATTCCAGATTTTCTTAACCGATTACAATTTCATGGTCTTTTGTTTGAATCGATTATTAAAGGTTTTATGCGCAAATGTTACTATTAATAATACACAATTTTACAATAATAAATAATAATGGGAGGTGATGGAATTACTAACATCCATTTATTAAAACAACTGTTCGTACATAAACACGTAAATAAATACATAATTATTTTAGGCTTATTGTAAATACTATACTATCGGGACTTAATGCGATGAAAAATAGTTTTTGCAGGTGAATACATACCATTGACTTTTTAATGCCGACTATTATTTAGAATATGTATTAACAATGCGTTCATGCATTTATGATTTAGTTGACAATAAATATACATAACTTCTTATACGTCCTCTATACACGTTTTTAGGTGTTCCTGTACCTTTGTATCCATCCAAGTGCAATCTATTTCTTACTTGTAGTGAATGTGATTTATCTTTTTGATAATATAATGAAATATTTACGTGACTTTATGTTTAAATAAAAAAAAATAGTTTCAGATAATTTTTTTTTATATATATATCTGATAAATTAAAATGGTTATTTTCAATTTATTGAAATTAACGATAAAAATATATATTTTAATTTTCTTTTTTCAGTTTATACTATTTCCAATTTCATTGTCTTCTACAGCTTGTACATGTGATATGTTGTGGCCGCAGAACTGATACGTTGTTATGAGAGCATTTCCAAGAAAGTGCCCAGTTGGATCTTGACGCACCACGTGCAGATATTCATCACTGAGGGTGAACTGGACTTGCGGAGGTGCAGCCCAATCGCACACCGTGGCCGATGCTTTATTTACTGTCGGCGGGTAAATGCAAAACATCTGGTGCAAAAAAAAAACAAGTGCATAATGTATTTTATTTCTCCTCAAAAAAAATATTTTTTTTTCTTTGGATAAAAAATGAACATAAAACGAAAAATAAATAAAACTGCTATAAAATGAGACATAAAATTTTCCGGTGGATAAATTTGCGACATGAATTGAGAGTGACCGACTGAACCCAAGATGATCTAGCTTGATGATGATGCTGCTAGGATAATTGGTCAACCAAATCATATTCTCTTTACGTATCTATGGCTCTTATTTCTTTAAAAGTAATTTATAATTACACTAAAAATGTAATACAACAACATATAGAAGAGGCCGCTAACTACTGAAATATATTGATATAGGTATTAATTATGTATTTGAAATAAATTTATATATTAATTATTTAATAATTTATAAGGTACGCAATATACCTATTCGTATAGCAGTAGTAATATATATAATATCACAATATTATAGGGAGGGAGTTATCACCATAGGGAGATTTTGTACAAAAGTTGATTGCTTGGGTAACTCTGTCCCATTCGTGTTTCAACCGTGAAGCAGTTGTGTTTGCATAGCTGTGTTTCGGTTTGAAGGGTGGGATATGGTGTGAATTTACAAGGTATAGAGGAATAACATCTGAGTCCTCAAGAATGGCAATGCATGGGGGGTATCATGGGCGAAACAGTATACTCTGTTATGTCCATGGTACTGCTCATGTTTATAGGCGACGGTTACCACTTTCCGTCAGGTGGGCCGTCAGCTTGTTTGCCATTCTAAGTTGTATAAAAAAATATTATAAAGAAAAATATGCCATATAAATTCAAAGAATTGTAGTTAAGTAATAATTTTATGATAATAATATACAAGTAACATATAATAAGTAGATATTACTGAGAATCGAATTAACCCGTAGGTCTTCTAAGTACATATTTGCAAATTATTTTATATTTTTAACCTTTTAGGTTATCGGAGTAAAACATGTATGACTAATTAGGTGTTAAGTAGGTATTGACTTTTTTATGCAACTAAACTGACGGCCCACTTGATAGAAAGGGGATAACCGTCGCCTGTACAGTGGACATGAACCATGGACATAACAGAGTGTAGTGAGTCCATTATCATGTGTATTTCCTTCAAGCATTGCCAGAGGATTAAGATGTTATTTGCCCTTTTACCTTATAATGTTTTTGCCATATCCCACCCTTATATATATTATTACAGATTTATAAACAGAGACATTATGTATTATTTAAACTATAAATAAATAATATTTTTTCTATTTTGGAATGACAAACAAGGTTTCTTTGTTATTCCCAGTCATAAGCAGGAAAATGATAGAATATATTACTTGATAGAACTTGGTAAGCGTCGTCATTAGCGTACTGAAAATTATTTTAAAGAAGGGCTTAGCCTTTAAATAAACGTGCATAATCATAGGCATTCATCTTGCGAAACTGAGGTGGGTAATTGATGATTCTGAGGTCCTTGGCTTTTTCTTAATTAATTAATTATATTTATTTATTTTAGACAACTTGGATCCATTTTTGTTTTATTAGTGTACTTAAAAACTATGTTATACTTAATCTCTAATAATGATCTAGGCCTCTCGGCAAGCATTCTCACGAGAGAACTCTCTAATTTATTTACAATAAATAAACTCACATATTATACAATATTAATAAGGTTTACATATTGTAAATAACTCACTTTCTGGTAAGCTTCTTGCTGGCCTGATGGAATATACATCATCGGATAATCAAATCTATATTTGTAGGCATAGTCTGTAGCTGAAACAGATACAAAATAACAATACCTAGTTTTTATTGTAATTATTATTTACATATAGCTATTAATTTTGTTTATTATTTATATTTGGTGAACTTACAAAGTATACCAATCAAGAAAATAAAAAAAAAAATGTAAATCGATAGGATTTATATATTAGGATCGATTTGATTATTATATGTACCGACACATATTAAGGTGCTCCCTACTTTATTTTATTTACGAATCTAAGTACACTTATTCATAGGTCTATTACGAAATGTTGACTTTAGATAAAAATATTTAATGTATTGACATTGAAAAGTTAGTAGAATAGTAAGAACAATCGAGTACCTGAGATTTATAAGTATAATGCAATCTCATGCAATCTTGGTTTTATTATGGATGTGACCCTACAACTTTTTATATTTAGTAAAAAGGAGTGGATACTTAATCTATTTTTAAATATTTATTTGTGATATTAAATATTTACTATAATTAACACAATACAAAATTTTACCTTTAGTTATTACAGTACAATGGGGCGGTGAAGCTGACGCATTCTCTCCTTGACATCCCAAGAATAAAGTTGTCACAATCAACATCCAAGTGGATAACAAAATCATTTTGATACATTAATTAAGTCCCTTTTTAATAAAAAAAAAACGTGTCCGAATACAAAATTAAGATATAGTGTTAATGTATTAATGTTAATTCACGATATATAACTGCTTGGTTTTTAGGAAATGAAGTTGTTATTACTATGTTATCATTTTGCTTCGCATTAAGATAATGTGAACTATAAATATTAGGTCAACGGGTAACCAACTCTTTGACAGCTTGACTTTATAAAATAAATAACTACTATACATTTTTCTATTTCATTACTGAGATACTAACTAATTAGCATATTGTAAACCCCTTTTTTTACTTATCTACATTTGTGTACCCAAAAATATTTTTATGCATTTAGTTATTGTCTTCAGGGCCTCAAGTTCTATTGAATACCTGTGTGGTGATAAGTACGTTTAGGCATCACGAAATGAAAACCTTTATTTTATATTTGTTATATTTTAATTTAAATCTAATAACAGATATTGATTTGGTACTATTAACCAATGCTATTCATATTTATTTTGATATGGAGTTTTCATCGCTTTCTACTATAGTATTTTTTAAATCTTCTATTTGACGTCGTAAATCTGCATGAAAAATTGCTGCAATCTCCACTTCCATTTCAGCAGCCGTTACTGTAATAATAAAAAAATTGCCGATTCCTTATAATTTTAGTAAATAATTGTTCAATAGCTGTTAGAACAGTGACAGAATAATTCTAAATGTTGAATTAAGCACCTAGAGTAATAATTTATAATTAGATATAAACTCACTTCTTAATTTTTTTACTATTTCTAAACTTTTTTTTAGCCGTGCTAAATCGAATTCGATGTAATCTTGTAGCATATTGTAAAAATTTGGGCTAGTAATATCAATATTATCAAAAAAATTATTGGCTTTCTTCATATTATCCATTTTAAAAGCTAAACAAGTCCAGTTTTCGCGCCATTGGCTAAACTCGAATATTAAATATCCGTCATGTGTTGTATTTTCTTATTTTTAAAATTTTATTTTCCCCTTTTACTCTTCTTGTAAAGGATAGGCAAAGGAATGCAACTGCAGTATTTTATATTTACCTCAGTTTTTTTTTTTAATGTGTGATAATGGAATGGTACCTCACCCGCGCTATCGGTATACACCGGCGGGGCACCAGTGAAGGATGATAAGTGAGGATGAAGTAGGTCAGTTAGCCCATCGTGACGAATTCAACAAGAATTGTTCACGATGGTTTCCAGGGGAACCCCCGTGGAGGTCGACCTAATAGGGCATATTGCTAGCAATAGGAATGTCAAACTCCATTGCTAACAATCCCTGTCCCCCCTATTTACCTCAATTCAAAAGATAAAAAAAGAAATGTTTTAAGCAAGTAGACGTAATCCCCCTTAAATACCCATCATATGGGGGGAATGGATTGTAAATAATCGGGAGGTAAGTTCCTATTGCTATCAACCTGATACGGTATCAGGTCAACCTCCACGCGGTTTCCCCCTGGAAACCATTGTGACTAATTTATCGTTGAATTCGTCACGATGAGCTAACTAAGACTAGACTAAGTAATTCAATTTTCGTTAACTATATATGGTAGCTTCTAATTAGCTTATTGTTGTCATGTATAGTTATTTAACTATACATACTAATTATATTACTAAATATATATATATTAAGTATAGTTGTAATAACTTATTATTACAGCTGTAAGCTTCCTAAAGAATAACAAATAAATTTGGCCAATCATCATGTCAACGTTTAGCTAAATGATCAAATCACATTAGTAACTAACAACAATAAATAACAAAAATACTGTAATAACGATGGTAACTATCCGAAATTTTTATAATTTAACTATGCTTAACTTAGCTATTCTTCTGGCTATTAATGCTGTAATAACCTGTTAAATAGTTAGCTATTTGGCCAAATATTATTGGACGATAGACTTATTATAAACTACCTAATAGCGATATGTTGGGGGAAAAGGGATTGTTAGTAATGAAGACTGAGAATCCCATTGCTAACAATATACCCAAACAGGTCGACCTCCTCGCGGTTCTCCCTGGAAACTATCATGGTTAATTCCTGATGAATTCATCATGATGGGCTAACTGGCCTGTTTTCATTCTCATCTATCACCCTTCACTGGTGCTCTGCTAGCGTATCCCGTTAGAGCAGGCGGAGTTACCATACCATTTTCACCTATCAAAAAAAAAATAGCGATATGTTTAGCGTTAGCTATTTAGTTGAATAACTGCCCAGCTGCATTAGATTATGTTCAATTTTCAATACAGTAACATATGTTAAATAATGTGATTATTTTTTGTTTCTTCGTTTTTTTTTATTCAACAAATTGCTTTGCTGCTGTCAATACTATGTTAGGTATATCTATTTGTAAACAGTCTCTTATTTTTTATAGTGGCACCACTATCTAATTTTTAACCATAATCGAACGGATTATCTCAAAGTTTGAGTTCATAGATTATAGATGTAGCTAACTCTTGTTGATAAAATGAATTTTGATTATATTTATCGATTGCATTGCTATTAAAGCAAAAGATTTCCTATTAATAAATATACTCGTAGTAATCATTATAATTTTACTATTGGTATACTTAGGGTCTAAGCTAGCACTCATTATATTTGCGTAAAAAGAAAGGAGTCAACTATATGATTTCCAATTTTTATTTTATCTATGTAATTAAGTAGTAAGTTTTTATTTTATCTATGTAATTTAGTGTACAAGATATAGACACCGTAAGGCACTGTACGTTATAGTTTGGCCAGCGAGTCGTGTCACTCATTATTTTTGGAAACTTTCATGTTGGCAACATTATTAATCTGTCAATGTGTCACTGATTCCCTTTTCATATGTATACGCTTATTTTTCTTCCTAATTTTGGATTTAAAATGGCTAAACGTAAAAGTAGTATTCCTGGCATGTTATTTGCCATAATTAAGAATTATAATCATTTAAAAAGTGACATGGAGCAAGTACTTGTGGAAAAGCAACGGATTTTCAAAGAAATTGTTTCGTTAGCAGGTATGACACTCAAAAGATTTTGATAATTTAATGGCTTTTTAGCGGTCATAATATTTATGTGTGAAATGTAACAGTTTTTAGATGATTTTTACATGCATTTCATTTATTTGTTCCCAGATGGTTTACACGATGAACCTAAACAAAAGATTAAGGATTTAATTCAAGATCTGAAAAGTAAGAGGGTGTTGTCAACAAAGCTGTGTTTCGCTCGAAGTGATAATAATAATTATTTATTTATTTGCTCCAAATGTGGTAGTAATAATGGTATTAAATATAATTGATCTATACATTTATTACATAATAATGATTATGACGATTTATGCATTGAATTTCTTGATTCTGATTTTGATTATGAATCTGCATAAATATATTGTTTTTAAATAATTACATGTTTTTATTTCCTTTTTATTTCATGTAGTTTTTAGTTAACAGGATAAAGATATAACTATAATAAATAAATATATTCCTTCGAGAATAATGATACAAGTATCAAAAAAGTATTTCGCAGTATTTTCAGTATTACCATCACAATTTTTTTTTTAATTTGCTGCGGTTTCGAGGGGACACGACTCGCTGGTCAGACTATAGTAGTTCTTAGCTATTAACAGATACAGATTATAAATTTGTAAACTATAATTATTTCGTTTAGGTACATACATTTCGAAAATATACTTAAAAAACTGTTTTTTTTTTTTTTTTGCTCGAGCGCAAGTATATATAAAGAATAAATGATTGTATGGAAGTCAGTGGTTTCCAAAATGCATGAAATTGCATTTTGGTCACAAAAAATATATTTTGTACTTTAATTTTTTCTTGCATACTTTTAAGTTTCGTTTTTGTTCTCCGATAAAGAAATGCTTTTTTATTTATAAAATGACAACGTATTTTTTGCAACTTTTTAGAGGATGATGTAACCTTTTAACAAACAAAAGTAATAAAATTGTTACTTCTTTTCTTGTCTGAGGGGTGGAATTTATTAAAGAATTTCTTCGAAAAATTTTAAATTACATATGTATTTATCAGTTCAACCAAGATACACGAAAAGAAAAGGTTGAATTAGATCAGACCATGTTTTGTAGGGATTTAATATCTAAAAACTACGAAAGATGTATGTATTTGTTTTGTTGAGAAATTTTAATGTTACAATTTTAGTCTTATTATTTAAAAAATGATGGACAGTTTTATATAGAATGTCCATCGATTTTTTCAACTCTTATTTTATACTAATGTTTCCAGTTAAAGTAGCACAATTCCTATAACTCTTTTATGTATAGAGATAATTTATTGTCTCCTTTAGATTTTTGGTTAATCTTTCTTAAATTTTCATTATTTATCGAAAAGAAATATTCAGAAAATTTCTCCATTGAGTTTTTATTTTATGCGTTCTAAAATTTTCCTCTTGTTTCTGAACGAGGATTAAGTAGCTAAATATAAATGTATCTTCATGTAACCTATCTATCTCTTACTAACTTTTGAATTCACTATTATATCTTTTTCATTCGTGACCAGGATTTCTAGTGACAATTTATTTTGTACTGATTTGCATATCAATCAACCTGACTAATTCTGTCACGCGTTCTTTTATTACTATTCTTTTTCTACGTACTTAGTTAATGTTCATCACTTATCGACTTTGGTATTAAATTTTTACTTACATTGTATCTTGTAAATTTCACTCATGATTGTTTATTAATACTTTTGGGTCGGTATTTAAAGTACTGTAAAAAATGATGAGTGACGACGACCGCGACATTGATATCGAAAGTGATGTAGGTTTCTTTGACGGATAATTTGAGCTTATGTGATGTGTGTTTATTTTGTGATACCTACGATTACTTTTGATACGAAATTTACATTTCATATTTATTTCAGGCTGAAAATGACTCAGATTCTCGTACACACGCTAGAAATAACCTTAGTGGCAGTGGCTATTTTTCTCAGGTAATTTAATTTTTATCAATATATGTACATTTGAGTTGGGGAAAACACCACACCAACATATTCACATAAATAATGTAATTTAATTTCAAATATTTGATTATTTATATCTGTTTAGTTCATATGTATTTGTATTTTTTTTATTCTAGGCTGAGAAAAGAGCCCACCATAATGCTTTGGAAAGGAAACGGAGAGACCACATAAAGGATAGTTTTACATCTTTAAGAGAATCTGTGCCAGCTCTTCAAAATGAGAAAGTGGTATGTTTACATGTGTTATTCTATTATTTATATTATTCTATGATATTATTTTGTTGATATTAGTACTCCATAACATTATTCAATTAAAATTTTGTTTTGAAAGTTATTTTATCTTGAAGGTCAATATGTGAATTAATTGTCTTAAATAATTTAGTTATGAAGTGTTATTTATTATATAGTAGTACTATATTTTTCAATAAGTTATATGTAACTTATTCTCCAATGTGTGGTATTTGAATTTGACCTTGAAATTAAAAGAAAACTAATTACTATGTGAGAAATAATAACTAATTACTAATTATTTATAGAAAATTGTATACATAATAAATACAACATTACTTTTTTTATGATATTTATGTTAATCTTCAACTAATTTTGTTCCTTTTTCTTAATTGAAAGTGTTATTCTTATTCCACACATTAGTCTCGTACAAGAGAAAACTATTAAATGAAAAGAAAATAAGTCTCGTACTATATTTGTCAAGATTGAAATTGTTGGTTGGTTTTCAATTTGTTTCTATTTTGATTTGTGTATAGTTATACATATATCTTTGCTAATTCTGAAACAATTTCGAGAATTATTTTTACAATCAGTATGATACTGTTTTATATAGCCCATCTAATTTTTTTAATATTAAGCTGCTGTTTTTCGTTGTACAGTAGGCATGTGTAATTATGTACTGTGGATGTTTTATATATTGGTTTCCTCTGGATATTGATTACAGAAAAAAGATTATCGTTAATTTCAACACATGTCAAATGTCTATATTTATTTCAATTGATTTCAAATTTAAATATTATTCTTTGATGGGTTTTAATATATATATATATAGTTTTAATATATATATACTAGTGGCTTACCATGCTTATGTAACCTTGACAATACACTACGGTATAATTTTCTAGGGAATTGTACTGAATGAAACATTTTTAAAGTTCAAAAGATATGTCTAAGGCCAGCTTGCAATATTAAATCGGTAGACAGCTGTAAACCACTACTCAAAAAACATAACATATTGACATTACCTGCATTATATATTTTTGAACTGGCAGTATTTGTTATCGAATTAGCAATGAGGAGGTCCTGCTTAGGGTTAAGGAAAAAAGACAAATTATTAGAACTATTGAGGACAGAAGGGGAAAAATGTTAGGACACTTGATACGACACGACGAACTTATGAACATTATAATAGAAGGTAAGATAGAAGGAAGAAGGGGGAGAGGGAGACCGAGACATAGTTACATCAGGCAGATCAAGGAAGGAGTTGGTGTAGTGTCATATCAAGAGGTGAAGAGACTCGCTGAAAATCGTAGTGAGTGGTAAGAGCGCAGCTCTTAAATGGATACATATAGTATTTGTTAAAAATAATTTAAATAAATATAATAAATTTAAAAATAATAGACGACAAGACAAAATCCCTTCAAAATTACATAGAACTACATTATTCACTAAAAGTGTTCTAGGGATGGCATCTAGAATATATAATAAAGTACCTAAATCTCTCACAGATGTAGGTGACATTAAAATTACAAAACTAAACTACATGAATACCTAGGGAACAGAACATACTAATCAATTAATGCCTTCCTTGGAGATAAATGCAATAAATTTCCTTAATATTATACTAATACTGTAAATATGACATTATTAGATTTCATTAATTTTTTTTCTTATATATATATATATTTGTGAATTTGTATATATCGATAGATGAGGTTGATCATAGAGGACTTATCTTGTATTACCATCCAATGTTATGTACTGTTACTTATTTCCATTTAATTCTTTCCATGGATAATGAATTTTGTAATATCATAAGGCAATAATAAACAGTAGGCAATAATAAGGCAATAATAAACTGCTAATAAACAGACACATTCACCATTATAATTTTTTATATTAATGGGAAGGGAAATTTTTTCACTTATAAAAAGCAAAATTATTAAGCCAAATTATTATTTAATACTTTAAAATTGTACAACTAATATTTTCATAAAACTTAATTTTAGGCAAGTCGAGCTCAGATCCTTAAGAAGGCTGCAGAATACATACAATTCATGAGGCGGAAAAATAACTCTCACCAGCAGGACATTGAGGATTTGAAGAGACAGAATACAATCCTTGAAACACAAAGTGAGTTGTTCCTTGTGTTTGGGAGTTACCATTTTATTTTTAGCATATCATCTGTATCAGCAGTTAACTGTCCGCTGCTGGACATAGGCCTCTCCCTAAGAGGGGTTTTGCCACTAGTTACCACACTTGGCAGGCAGTTTGGCTATCATAGTTAGTTTTTGGTGACATTTTAAGAGGGGTGCTACTGCCTATTCCTCGACTATTATGTTACCCTAGTCGCCTCTTACGATACCCATGGGAAAAGTGGTAGCCCATTCTAAGTCTGGATCATATGGTATAATTTTTTTATGGTACTAGAAAAATAAATGAGCTGATGACACACCTGATGGAAAAGGTAGGCAAAGTGCGCGTGACATCCCTGTTATTACAGGCGTCTATAGGGTATGGTAATTCCATTTACCATCAGACGGTTTGTATGCTTATTTGCCACCAAAGTAGTATAAAAAGTGGTATGAATTATGATGGTTTATAAAACAAAAATTTTGCAGAATTATTATTTTATGAACTTTAGAGAAATGACGCCTTAGGATCAGCCTCAGTGTTCTCTTGCACTTGCAGTTTTGTGTGTCGCCATCTAGGTTAACAGGGATACAACACAAACAAGGATGCAAATTACGTTGATAGTTTATATATATATATATATATATATATATATATATATATATATATATATATATATATATATATATATATATATATATATATATATATATATATATGTGTAGGAAGATTCAGTTTTTATAAATAAGGTAGATAGTCCTTGCTTGCTTATTGTACTACGCAGGTCATTAAAAATTTTATACATTAACAATATGCTTGTGATTTACAGTTCGTGCCCTCGAAAAGGCCCGAGCAACAGGCAACTATGTGGACCCGCACGAGTTGGGTCTTGGCATAAAGTCAGAAGGTAGTTCCCACGATACAGACAGTTCTGATGGTGAGGGTACAACACGTAGAGTGAAAAAACTTAAAATAAACGGAGTTAATGTGTAATTATGTGAGCCTTCAAGAAACAATAGTTATACAGAATTCAAGTTTGAGATGGTTCTGCTTTGACATTTTTTTTGTTTTTTTTTTTTACTACTGATGAGTCCCGCGATTGATCACACTCTCAATTGATAATGTTGTCTAAATTGGAACTCGCGGACTCACAAATAGCCTATTGACATTTTATTGTTTATCACATTACGTATTAATTTTATATTTACTGATGGAGTATATTTATTTCACTACACGTGTTTACAATATACTTATTTAATAAACACAACGTTATAGCTCTAGTCCCTATTTTATTTGGCAATTGGTCATTTTCTTATTCTATGAAAATAAATTTTATGTCTATGTCAAGTATGAATCATTGGATGTAAACAGTTTTTTAAGTCTACAGAATAATAACACCTAGGTACCTAATTTTTGTAAGATTTTAAATTTAAATATTTTTTATTAATGCAATTAATTATGGCAAGAGTGTAATAAATGTCAAAATTTTTTATTAAAATGGCAATTGTTTTTACATAATAGTACCAGAAAATTAATTTTGTAGTAAAGGGTTTTCATTGTGATATAAAACTCTGAATTAGTAATTTAAAATATAAATTTTAGACATCAAATAAATAATTGCATTATAAGAATATTTAATATTAAGTGAAAAATAAGTATATTACATTTAAGACTGTCTTCTTGAACATGTAGTATTGTAATGGTTGATATTTAAATAATAATTAAATCGAAAAAGGAAATTTAACACTGTACACTCGGTGGTGGGCTAGCTACATAGCAAGACTAGTAAATGCTATAGACACTGTGCGCCAACACTTTCAAGTTAAAAAATGTGATGAGCCAAGAACACTTTGAAGAATAGTGAATATGAATAGCTCATAGAAGTCGATATGAATCGTCTTTCTTATTATATATCGCATTTTTTGGGATCCTTTTTGCACGGGGACCTATCGAAACAATTGTAATTAATTGTAACGTAAATCCTTGTCATTGCTTCATGGATGGAGTAAAAAATTGACAATGGCAATAGATTGATTGATATCAATATTAAATTCAAGAGTAGACTTGCTGATGTTTTATAGATTCTGATTCCTCGCAGGAGAATCTGCACAGTGTGTTTGAAGATATTCCCATCTTGTATAGTAATATGTCTTACCGGCGTATGTCCACTTGAGGCACCTATTATGAGTCTTTCCCGTTGTCTGCCCTCCACTATAAATAATTTTATCCCATCCGATATGTATAGTATTATTTTTAAATTTGCCCATATGAAATACAGAAAAGTTACATGTAACAGTTTTATTTAATACCATAAACTTGATACTCTAAAGCAGACCCCTTGATAGAATTTGCTCCAGGCTGTGCTCTGGATTAATCTGACATTGTGTATATCTAATCTTGACATTTTATTTTACTAGTAAATTATTATAATATAATTACGGAAATATGCAATGTATTCTATATGTAAATATGTATGTACAATGTAATTAAAATTTTATTAACGGAAGTATGTAATTGTTTTTGATGAGCACGAGTGCATAATACACTGTTAAGGTTTTATTTGTTTACATTATTGTGTAAGTTTAAAAATATCCAATTGATGTAATTGTTCTTATCTACTTGGCTAGATAAAATGTTATTTGGTTGTCACTTGAACAGCTCTTGATGAATTTTTAATTAATATGTGTTTCGTACCAATATAATTCTGTTTGTTCTCGAAGACGAAATAGGATTAATAAAACTATAAATACTCTGTTAAATTGTTTTTTTTTTTTCATTTATTTATTTTCTATTTAATGCTACATATATTTAATAATTTGTTATTTATCTACTTACTTATAATTTTAACTATTCATTAAAACTATAACAAGATGATATGAGCTGTCTTGAAAATGTAAGATATAATTTTTTCACTTATTTTTTCACTATTTTCGCATAACTTTATTTGTAGTGGAAACTATTACTCTAGAAAAAAAGACAGATTTTTTTTAATATATATTTTCAAGGTAGCCTACTGGGTTACTTGATACATTAGATAATATGTATAATAGTAATATAAATGGAATAAAAGTACAAATATTATAGTAGATATAGTTAGCCAATTATTGTAATAACTTTATCATAAAAAAGAAACAAACAAAATGTAGCAAATTTTTATGATTTATACCTCTTAAACATCTTTGCGTCATTCACAGAACACTAATATTTCATTTAAGGTGAAGCATAATTACGTTTCACAAATTATCTTTATAATTTATATAAGAAATCAAATGCGTATGTAACTTGCGTACGTATTATTCGTATTTTTGGGCTCGTCCATAGTTTTTCTATTATTATAGGTACCTAACATTAACACTTTAAAAGTTAGTCTTAACATGATTCTATCGATTGAATCAAGTAATGAAGAAACATTTGTTCTCGATGTATTATTTTATGCAATGTTAAGAGACAACTGTAAAAATTGTTGGTGATAGCTTAATTTAATCGAATTTAATTTAAGCTTGTATACAGTGATATTTAAAAGTGTGTTCTGATGAAATGAAAATTAGTATAAACTGCCTATGTCAACTCCTGCGCTATTAAGCCAATGCAATAAGGCTGAAAACTGGTCATAGTTGTCAGCAATACAATGTTTTTCATCCATGTTTCTTAGTGCTCCAAGTAAAGTGGTTGTGAAATTTGATAACGGTTCTGTTTGCTTCGTATTCTGTAAAAGAATGTGTATATATGACTTTAGAGTAGGTATCGAATTATTCTTACATAACCATATTGGATTGGACGTTTTTGTAATATATGGAATCTATATATGACATATACTTAGTTTTTTAGGGGTATTTTATGTATTTAGCTTAATGAAAATTCATGGAAATATGTTTCGTAGTTTTGCTTACAGAAAATAAGAGAATATAAGTAATTTTTAATTGATTTTCTCGTTCGATATTTTAAATAATTAAAAAAAAAAATTAACAGATCTTATCAAGCGCGATGTTATTTTCAAAAATAGAATGAAAAATATTAAGATGCCTATAACCTTAAACATGTTGTTCCAGACTTTTTTTTTATAGGTGATAATGGTATGGTAACCCCACCCCTCCTGCGCTATCGGTATACACTGGCGGGGCACCGGTGAGGAATGAATAGTGAGAATGAAAAGGTAGGTCAGTTAGCCCATCATGACGAATTCAACGAGAAATTAGTCATAATGGTTCCCAGGGGGAACCGTGTGGAGGTCGACCTGATAGGGTATATTGATAGCAAGGGGGACTAATCTTCCCATTACCAAAAATCCCTTCCCTCTGTTGTTCCGAAGTGTCCCTTGTAGTAATCTAAAGTCTGCTTGGTAATGGACCATGATTTACTGAAAATAAATAGTATGTCCATATTAAATAAAAACATGTTTTTATACTTACAGTATATGTTTCTATAGCAGATACAATTAAGCGGCGAAGCATTAACATTTCACAGCGGTCAACATATGCATGCATGTCATTTATTAATGTAGATACAGTGCGACCTGTACCCGGCGATAAATGTATTACTTGTTCATTACTGGACGAACATGCACCTAGAGAATCACATACTTCAACCCAAACTGTGATGCCGTCCTCTGCAAAAACAGAATGTCCATATAGTTCTATGAATATTCTGTAAAGCCTGTAATCAACAATCATCATCTCGTAACCTGGTATTTAATATTTTTGTTTAATTAAAAATTATCTAAACATTGGAAAACTTGTAACTACATAGAAATAAAAAAGAAAATTCTGGGTACTATGGGGAGAAAGTGATTGTTAGTAATGGAGACTAAGAATCCCATTGCTAGCAATATACCCAACCAGGTCGACCTCCTCGCGGTTCCCCCTGGAAACTATCATGCTTAATTCCTGATGAATTCAACATGATGGGCTAACTGGCCTGTTTTCATTCTCATCGATCACCTTTCACTGGTGCTCCGCCAGCGTATCCCGTTAGCGCAGGCGGGGTTACCATTCCATTTTCACCCATAAAAAAATAAAAATAAAAAAAAAACCTGGGTACTATTAGTAAATTTTATAAAATGGACTTTTCTTAATATTTAGGTTTCACTTTTAATAGGTATTTTAGATTAGGCTAAAAAATACGAACCAATATATGGAAGGAGAGTCTCAACGGCAAGGTGTTCCATATATGATCCCAGTAAAAGTGAGTCTTTGTTACTTAAGCCACAGTAGAAAGAATAACGCAGTGGTCCTTGGGGATCACTTGCTGCGGTTGTACTAATGCGGTAAACTGTTTCTAAAGCTGTGCCAGAATTCGGTGATACCTTAATGAAATAAAAGCTATACTGAATTATATTTATATAGGTACAATATTTTATCTACCTACCGATTTATTAAAGTTGGATTTTTGTTGATGTCTTTATTGTGGATCATAGGTCAAATTAAGGTACATATTACATCAAATAGAATCTCCATGTTCTGCTATATAAGCGTACAATATATGAAACAATTATAAATAAAGTACATGTATTATTTAATAATAACATAAAACATAAAATTTTAAATTATGTAGTGAAACAAAATAAATTAAAATGAGACAAAATTTTTGACTAATGATGATTATTTATGTTTATCATTAATGTATTGATTTTGGCTATAATAACATTTATTAATTAAAATATTATGAATTTTATTTTTTGTCATCTTGTTTATTTTTTGGTAGATCGTATTAAATTATAAGGTGGGTTGGGACATTGGCGCCATGCTTGAGTTTCTTTATAGTCAGGTTTGTTTGGGATCAACGAAGAAAATAGATTTATCTGTAAACTAGTTGTGAAAACTTCATATGGGCACTCTGAAATTTCGAGGCTTCATGGTATATCTATAAATTCTTTTATACATATATCATATATAGTTGATAATATCTAATAGATATTATTAGTGTTTACTAATTCGGGAAGTTACACTCTTTATTTCTGACACATCACTCTGTACACCGAATAAAGGTTTTGGTAAGCTCACCATTACTTCTCCAGTTTTGGGACTTTCGTTCAGAACAAAGTTGATTTCAGCGTACGCTGTCCCTTCTCGGTCACAGCCATATGTTAAAGAGCACCCGCAGTCAGCGACAAAACGCACACGTCCCACTGCAGCGTCCATATCAACTGTTATTTGCCGCCGTTCAGTGTCGTTGGAGAAGTCTGTCAGTTCGTTAAGGAAGTTCTCCTCTAGAGAATGGATTGTTAGTGATTCTAATAGTTCTTCTCCATGCTATGTAGGAAGGAAATGTTCCGATTATTTTTGGTAATAATAATAGATGGTAAATATTGAACTTTTAAACTGTTATTGGTTTAAAAGTTGTTTACGCTCTACTTACAAAAATAATCTCCTACTTTAGGGAATCTTCAAAAAACATCCGAATCTAATTTAAGCACAATCTTTTTTTTTAAATTCAATTTGGAACAGTAAACTAGCTGAAAGGTCATTTATTGGAAAGTGGCAAGTACCTTTAGAATAAAATGATCAACACTATCCATCATCATTGACGTCCATAGTATTTTTATTTTAGAGGCTTTTTTGAGGTTGCTATTTTAAAGGATTTTTACTTGTAAACACTGTTATGTAGTATGGTTTATAATTAAATTACCTGGCAATTTTTGCATGTATCGTTAATCACTAAGTCCGTGTTACTTAGATACTCTTCAGAAGCAAAGTACAATCCGAGGCTGCAGGCGGGAGATACATTACTCCCTGTAGCTGTTATAGATACAACACTACCTTCGTTCAATAATCGTTGCATTGGACTTATCTAAAAATAATAAAAAAATAACATCTAAACAGCTCGATCTGATAGGATTTAAACCTGCATCTTATCTTACAGCTGTCCGAGCTGGGTACATTGCTGTATAGTCGCAGATATTTAGGATTTCAGAATACAGAGTTTGAAAAATTTCAATTTTTTTGCAGTAGTACAGTGCGCTCTTAAAGGAGTTTTTTTCCCGCGAACGCTCAGGCTGTGGAATGAGCTCTCTGTCGTGGTTTTCCCTAGAAACTATGTATGGGATTCTTCAAAAAGGTTTATATACCCTTTCTGGTTTCTTCAAGGTTGGCAACGCGCACGTGACAACCCTAATGTTGCGGGGGGGAAAGAGATTGTTAGTAATAGAGACTGCGAATCCCATTGCTAGCAATATACCCACCAGGTCGACGTCCTCGCGGTTCCCCCTGGAAACTATCATGGTTAATTCCTGATGAATTCATCATGATAGGCTAACTGACCTGTTTTCATTATCATCTATCACCCTACACTGGTGCTCCGCCACCGTATTCCATTAGCGCAGGCGGGGTTACCGTTACCATACCAGTTTCACCCAGAAAAAAACCCTAATGTTGCAGGCGTCCATAGACAACAGTCTACCGTCAGACGGGCTGTATGCTTGTATGCCAGTTTCGTGGTATGAAAATAGTACCTACATATACTATACCGACTTTTAAAGGTTAAAGGTCATGATTTCAAATCTGGTCAGCATCAAACACTGTGTATCAATGTTCCGGTTTCTGTAAGGTGGAAAATGCTGTTAACAAATTAAACTGAGAGGAGGTGGTAGGCTCGCCTCTTGCACGCTCGATTCAAATACCTTTTGAATATGACATAGAATTATGACAGCATGCCGACTATTATGTTTACCAGAATGATAATATTCGACAAATGCTTGTAACTAAATACGCTAAAAAAGACACTTTATATGTACTTAACCCTTAAATACCTGAAGTTTTAAATTTGATACCGGGGTTATAAATCGCATTGGGCGCTTACAATTGATTTTATTTTAATATTTGGCTGTTTACATGTTACCAAATGTTTTTTTTCAAAATAAATATATAAAAATATCGTTTTGATTTTTTTTTCCCATTAGTAAACACAGTAAAGGGTACACTTATATATTTTTTAATTTGATTTAAAAAATCTGGCTTTTAAGGGTTAATATAATAATTTAATTTATTTATTTTTAATTTTTAATTTAATTTAATTTGCTTTGAAGAATAACATTAAATAAGTGTTTGTTTTAGTTAATAGTTTACCTGTAATACAGGCAAAATGGATTCCATGACTATTATTGTAGCATTTGCAGTAACAGAATATTGCTTTACATTAACCAGGAGTGTAAGTATGTACCTGCAAAGAAAATCATGTGGTTTTATATCATATTAATTATGAAACGATGCTGTTCATGTAGATTAGGTTTTATTTAGAAATATATCACTATATTTTTTTATATTATGGAAACAGAGGATGAAAAATGTAATAGTTGGTTATCCAAATTAGAAATTCATAATATTTTGATTAAATTACCTAGGAAATTGAATAAAAAAGAAAATAAAAAACAATCTAATCTTGCAAGCGATAAATATACCTGCTTAATATTAAAAGTATATAATACTTACTGCCCCTCGTTTGGAAATCCTGATGGAAAGTATATTGAATTGTCGTCGATATTCTCAAAGTAATCACATGACTCCCCTTCGTGTAAACAATTCCATTGGAGCTGTAGTATAAACGATTACGTCGTCAGTATTATAGGCACATAATCTGTTTATAAGTAGAAAATCAAAAGCTAAAATAAGATTTTATTTTATCCCAAAATAGTTACTAAAATAGTCATTTATAAAGTATACAATTTCTTATCTATAGATAGTTATATATATATATATATATATATATATATATATATATATATATCTTCATTTACTGTCATGTTTTTTAAGACATTCTTTTTCCTATGTTAACGCAAGATGGTACCACCACCTGATGGTAAGCGCTTACCTATAAACGCCTGCAATACCAGCGGTATTACGCGCAATTACGAATTCGTAGACTTTGCTATGAGAAATCACAAAAGTGCTCTTTACACTTGTATTTATGCGTGTTTTTTTTATTATTATTTTAATATATTAATTATTAAACTAAGTTAACAGGTCCACTGCTGAACATAGGCCTTCCCCATAAGGAAGCTTTTGCTAATAATTATCACGCTTGGTAGGCGGGTTTTTTTATGGGTGAAATTGGTATGGTAACCTCGCCTGCGCTAACGGGATAGGCTGGCGGAGCACTAGTGAAGGGTGATAGATGAGAATGAAAACAGGCCAGTTACCCCATCATGATGAATTCATCAGGAATTAACCATGATAGTTTCCAGGGAGAACCTGGTTATGTATATTGCTAGCAATGGGATTCTCAGTCTCCATTACTAACAATTCCTTTCCCCCCTTGGTAGGCGGGTTGGCAACCGTAGTTAGGCTTCGGTGATGTTTTTAATAGGGACGCTGATGCCCATTCCTCGAATATTAAGTTTCTTTAGTTGCCTGTTACGACACCGACGGGAAAGGAAGGCGTGGCCCATTCTATGCCAGGAAGGCATATTTCTATTCTTCCCTATAGGTAGATATACACAAAAGTAATATACATCCACTTACAACATAAAAATTAATAAAATTATCTCCCAATTTTAAAATGGTTTTAAATTATTTATCTTAATGTTTCATAGCTTTCTAAATGACTATGTACTTACCGACAAACTCTCGTAGTTGTCATGATTTATCACAAGCGCCTGGATATTAAATGGAGAGTGTACAGTGATAATAATAGTATCCACGTTTAAGTAGACTTCTATACCACGATGATGCACACGAAATGGAAGGGTTGTCTTGAAACAAAAATATTATGATACCTATACTCATGAAGGTTAATATACCCGATCTCTGATGTGATGTACTCATTAAAGTTTAGACTGCAAGCCCCTCGCTTCAGACACTCCTCTGAGTGACGTCCGGGCGGGTGGTCGTGTGAGTCGCATTGTGACATATTATTGTTTATTATTTCCTACACCTACCTACCATACCAGGAGGACAGCACAAAATTCTGGCTGTTTTATTAATAAAGTGTAAAATTATCATGGTACTTGCTGTTAAATCTGTCAATATAAATTGATGTATAACTATTTATTCAACCTTAACTCACCATATCAACCATTATATGTCCACTGTCGAATATAGAATTCCCTCATAAGGAGGATTTTGCTAGTAGTTGCCACGTTTGCCAGGCGAGTTGGCAATCGCAGTTAGGCTTCGGTGAGGTTTTAAAAGGGACGCTGCTACACGACCTTTATTCAGTCTTATCTACTTATTATTTTTCTTTTGTCCAACAAATTAATAAAAGTCTATAATTGCAGATAGAATAAGTATTTGAATTTTTCAATTCATGTTAGTATCCTTACGGGGTACGCCGACCAAAGCCGGCGGCTTCTTTCAAATGAGAAACACGATCCGTATAATTATAATAGACTAGTCTACCGAAGCAGCCATTTTGTTATGTTCATAATTGAGTACGATGAAACCTTTAGACTGACATGGAATGAACGACAACGAATACGCCTCATATCTCGTTATCGTCCTTGTGAATCAGTACATAAAGTATCTTATAAGCCAAGCTAGGATTTGAGGGGAAAAGGGATTGTTAGTAATGGGGATTAGTAACCCCATTGTTAGCAAAATACTCTGTCAGGTCGACCTCCTCGTGGTTCCCTCTGGAAACCATTATGATTGATTTATTGTTAGATTCGTCACGGTGGGTAACTGACCTGTCTTTTCATTCTCTACTGTCATTCTCACTGGTGCCCCGCCAGCGTATACCTACAGCGCAGGCGGGGCATTCCATTATCATTCATTAAAAAAGGTAGGATGTAATCTATCCGTGTACTAATATATTAAATTAATATGATTAATAAATTTAAATAGAAAAGATAATTGAAAAACAAACCAGGTTTTTTTGCGCGAAAGAATAACAAACACATGTCCATCCCTCCATTGTCCATTGTTTCTGCCTACCCTAATGGGAGACAGGCGTGACAGATATGTATGTATGTATGTATGTCCATCCCTCCATCCTTACAAATTTGTATATTAATAGGATTTTCGTAATGTTAGTACATTTGTAGGATAATATTAAAATGTACCAACTTAAATAATAAAAATTATAAATATACGTACCTGAGTAATAAAGCAATCGTCAGATTTCTTGTATAACTCACAATTAATGTCGTAAGTGAAGCCGGCTTTCAGAGAGTACTTAGGGATACTTAGTCTGGAGCCTCTTATATGGGAAACGTTAATGCTTTCTCCAAGTTCGTTTTTAATAGTCCACATAAACTGAAAAAATAAGATTTTATATGTATACATGGCTTGTATAGATTGTAGTCTCAAATCGCAGTAAGTACCCTAATGATATGGTAAGTTTTTTATCAATACCAAAAACTAGTGTATCGTTTGACCACACAACTTGCAATGCATGTCAACACACCTAACGAAAACTATATATGTGTATTTTATTAATTTTAGGTTATTTATTATGTAAGGAATGCCGTGTAGTCCAGGCATAGAATGAGCCATCTCTTTCTTTCCCGTGAGTGTCGAAAGAGGCGGCTAAGAGAACTTTATGGGCAGCAGCTATGAGAGAAGGTTGTCAAATTACAATTTCTGTTAACTTTAAAATTTAGAGATATAAAACTAAACTTTGTGTTAAGTGTTTGTGAGTGTTGTTTTTTTTAAGCTAAAGGGTCGGCTTCGTTATACTTAGTACTTACGTAGGTACCTACTCTCGGAAAAAGCGATACTTACTTAAGGAATGTACTAGTTAGGAGTACTTAATAAATAAATATGTATTTAATATAAATGGGTATATAATGTTTAGCTTACATAATAATCTTGCGTTGCCTGACATGAGGTCACCTGTGCATCTAATACAAATTCCATATCTACATATGTGTCTTGGCTTCCCACCAAGATAAGTGAAAATTTATCAGTTCGGCCCTCCATTGTTAGCTTCTGATCACCTTGTGTATTGTCAATGTTGAAAGATTTGGGTTCGTCCGTGTCACTATTTGGTTCTATTTCTGAGACGTTAAATATATATTCAACTCCACTGAGTAACTATAATAGTGTATTATAAAAAAAAATATTAGTAATGCTAACCGCCTTATTCATAACAATAGAGGTTTGATATCTCTCATAAACTTATTTTTGCTATTGAACTGTTTTGTTTCTTTTCTTTGCGCTAAATTCTTAGTTTGAATAAAAGCGAGAAAACAGTAATAATTGAAATAGGTTTGTAGGTTTTAATGTTTTTGAATAAGGGAATGACTATACATTTTAAATACAAGTAGTAGGTGTTGGCATAAAGTAATTACTAGTAATACGGTATAACGGCTCTCTTACTAGCAATGCACATTATAGTATTTTTTACCCGTGTGGTTACCATTCCATTTTTATTTCATAAAAAAATAAGTACCTACCTATTTGTTAAGAACAAGACTAAATTTTTAATGATAAGAGTGTTTTTTTTTTTAAAAAGACTATCTAGTTATAAAAATTCTAAAAGATGTCTCATGATGAACCAAATTATGACTTTATCCTCTCTGATCTCTCTAATACTCCGTTAACATATACCAATAGCATAGGCGGAGTTACCATTTAACTTCCATCCATTGGGGGGAAAGGGATTGTTAGTAATGGAGACTGAGAATCCCATTGCTAGCAATATACCCAACCAGGTCGACCTCGCGGTTCTCCCTGGAAACTATCATGCTAAATTCCTGATGAATTCATCATGATAGGCTAACTGGCCTGTTTTCATTCTCATCTATCACCCTTCTCTGGTGCTCCGCCAGCGTATCCCGTTAGCGCAGGCGGGGTTACCATACCATTTTCACCCATCAAAAAAAAAACATACGGTACAATAATGTTTGTTCAAGCTAACCCTCTAAAAATTTGCGTACACAGCATGATCAAATCATAAACATACAGCTAAACAAGCATGTAATCACAATATAATTTAAACAACTAAATATGATTGGGGATAAGGGATTGTTAGTCCCCATTGCTATCAATATACCCTATCAGATCGACCTCCATGCCGTTCCCCCTAAAAATTATTATCGTGATCAATTTATCGTTGAATTCATCATGATAGGTTAACTGAGCTGCCTTTTCATCCTTATTCATCTTTTTCATTCCTCACCAGTGCTTCACCAGTGTATACCGATAGCGCAGGCGGAGCTACCATTTCATTATCATTTATTAAAAAAAAATGATTTAATTTACTTACACATTAACAACTATAAAGGTAAATATACAAACACACATAAATATGTAGACAATCAAACATACATATGTATATACATATACCACAGCGTAGGTATATATTAAGTTTTTATATTTAATTTTTATACTCCGAAGTCGCAGGTAAAAACTAGTTATTAACCTAGTTAAAACTCACATCACTGTTTTCGATAAAGTAAACATTAGGTTCCACTTGTGGCCCATTCAATTTCTTTTCAAGCTCTCTCACTGTCCGCCACAACATAATCGTAAAGCGCTGAGTAGGTGATATTAATGTTTTCCAGCGCACTGTCCATTGCACTTTTAATACGTCGCTAGATGTAGATTGAAGGCTGTAATTAGTACTTATATTATAAATGTGAAAGTATGTTTGTTTGTAGCGTCTTAATAGCTTAAACAATCACTATGAAATTTGGAAAATAGGAGGCTATTTTTCATCCTGGTCAGCAAACGTATTAAGCCAACGATGTCGCGGGTAAAAGGTAGTATTAATATAAAATTAAATTGCTGATTATATGTACAATTTAGATTTGAAACTTTGACTAGAGATTAATTAACTGTATAATTTTTAACCCATAAGGTACAGTACTCATCACTGATTGGAATTTTTAAAATACTTTCTGGACCAACACAATAAGTAGAGGGAGACTTTGTACAAAAAGCGGATTGCTTCCTCTGTCTCATTCGTGTTTCTACCGTGAAGTAGTTGTGTTTGTATGGCTGTGTTTCGGTTTGAAGGGTGGGATATGGCGTGAATTTAGAGGGTACAGAGGAATAACATCTGAGTCCTCAGGAATGGCAACGCATGGGGGGTATCATGGGCGAAACAGTATACTCTGTTATGTCCATGGTACTTCTCATGTCTATAGGCGACGGTTACCACTTTCCATCAGGTGCGCCGTCAGCTTGTTTGCCATTCTAAGTTGTATAAAAAAAAAGTATGGATTACTTACGTGATAATTGTGTTATCAGCCTTCTCAATCACGTCGTCCTCTTGTTTTGGACATACGTATTGAGGTGCTAGGATGCGAAATGCTTTCATTTCGGGTATCTGTAATGAAACTGATAATTTAACCCCGCCCCGGCCTTTAAACACGCCTATAACTTAAAATCCATAAAAATTTAAACTAGAGTCTTTTGGAAGTATTTAAAAAAATATAGGTATTTTAATTGTAGATTTTAAATCATATAATTAAACTCTCACCAACTGGAATAAGAATGTTAAAGTTATAAGCCATTTTAAAACAAGTTTAGTTTTAAAAAGCATTATAAAATTTTTATGGAAACATTAGAGGTTTTAAGGCAGTCAGTGGTAAAAATAGACTGAACTGATACCTGATATGAGTTACTATTGTCACCATGCCATAGAATGGCATTTAATATTGCGTGATAGTACAACATGCAATAACTGTAATGGATCGATACAGGGAACAAAGTTTTTGTACACATATGATTTTTTGTTTATTGAGAACTTGAAAGGAAAAAGAAGAACCTGGTGGTAAATGGAAATCGTTCCCTTTAAACAGCAAAATTAAAAGAATCAATGTATGGGAATCAATGTATTGTGGTCCCGGCATAGAATAGGCCACCTCTTCCTTTTCCGTGGGTGTCGTAGGAGGCGATTAAGGAAGCTTAATGGTCGAGAGATGGGCATCAGTGTTCCTCTTTAAACATCTCCAAAGCCTAACTGCGGTTGCCAACCCGCCTGCCAAGCGTGGCAACTACTGGAAAAACCCCCCTTATAGGGAAGGCCTATGTTCAGCAGTGGACAATTAACGGCTGAAAAGATGATGAATGAATGATGTATTCTATAGCGTTAGAAGTATTTTTCACGCATTACGACTTGCACTGTTTTTACATGATATGCCAACATTGAGTAATGAAATTACCGATGTAGTAGGAAGTAGCTTTCACTTCCCTGCCTTGAATTATATTTCAATAGAATTTCCAATAAGATGAAAATGGAATGGTAATCCCTTTCGAGCTATAGACATATGCGGGATTGAATGATCAATCCATACTTGAGGTGGTTCATGTAACACACAGTGACAAATTCACTAGGAATATAGTTAATCCAACTTATCATCTATTCGCAGTTATCGTGGGTTATCAACTGTGGGGTCTGGCGGTTAAATTATAGGGTACGAAGTATAATCAGTTTGTTCATCATTCGAAATCATCATCTAATTCATCATTTCACTCTGAGAACTTTCATCGCGAAATAGAAGCGCTGAGATTTAAATTCCGCAAATAAAATAGCTCGATTGTCTATTTAATTTAAAAGAACAAGGCTTATTATTGAGCTCGGTTTTATTAAAAAAAAAAAAAAAAAACAGCTAAATAGGTACTAATTTGTTTGAATACAGTAGTATCTAATTTGATGAAAAATTTGAAATAAAAGACGTAAGGTAACGCAGTAATTGTCGTTTCTTCGAAATAATTTAATTAGATATCTACCTACAAAATGTTTGCAACAAATGATGTAAGATGGCGTAGTCAGTCCCGTTTTACCTGATTCAATGTAACAAAAATACGAATTGATATTTTTAATATGTTCCACTGGGATAATTATCAAAATAATTATATTTTTTCGTTAAAATTAAGTACTTAGAAATAAATAAAATGTGTATCTACCTACTACTTATTCACAAATAACATGAACTACGTCAACTACATGAAGTTGCTTCATATACAAAACAACTAGCTTCATATCTATCGTTACTTTTACTTTGTTCCTGTCTATAGTAGCAATACGAAGCTCCGCAAAATAATACCTAATTAAGTAAAATATAGTGGAAAAGTAAAGAAAATTACTTTAAAAGTAAAATAATTTATTTAATGCGTGAATTTGAATAAGTTTGATTATCATACAATATTCATTTTATAAATTATGAAGACTTTTAGAGAGTTGAAATGGAGCTATATAAAATTATCTACCTACCATACATTTATCGAAATATTAAAATTAGCAAATTCAGTGCAAAACGCCGATTTTGTAAGCTAATTAAATGAATACTAATAGTTCGTTTCAACTTTATAAAAAGGTGAGTCTTATATTTCGTAACAATCAAATAATACCCAACAATTGTCAAATTATAATTATTGAACCGAGAGAGATTTTATACAAAAGTTCCTTGCTTGGGTGAGGGTACCCAACTGTTTCACTTGTTTCTGCTCTGAAATAATTGTGCTTGTATAGTTTTGTTTTGGTTTGAAAGAGGTTTTGTTCAGAAATGGCAGCGCGTGAAGATTACCATGAATGTCACAGAGTGTTCTATGATGTCCATGTCTGTAAGTGACTGATCAGATTCCACCTGGTGGGCTTTCAACTTATTTGCTAATTAAAATAGCATAAAAATTAATTTGAGCAATGCAAAGATACTTTTCTCCTAAGCCGTTGAGTTTGATCGATTTATATTGATTTTTTTTATGGGTGATAATGGAATGGTAACCTCACCCGCGCTATCGGTTTACACCGGCAGGACAGCAGTAAAGGATGATAGGTGAGGATGAAACAGGTCAGTCCATCATGACGAATTCAACAAGAATTGTTCACGATGGTTTCCAGGGGGAATCACGTGAAGGTCGACCTAATAGGGCATATAGCTAGCAATAGGGCTGTCAGACTTCATTGTTAACAATCTCTTTATCCCCGATTTATTTTGATTGAGTGATAATAGCTTTAAATTTTATTTCATTTGTGATGACGTGAGGGTACCTTATAAATTCACGTGCACTTAAAAGCAGATAATTGTAAATTTAGATAACAAAGTCTTCATATTGCAAATATCTTTATGAATTTTACCGGGCTATTTTTATTACACGCGAACCAATGGAAATTAGGAAACATTCGAAGTTTCAATAAGCAATATGGATATAGGCTTTTAACAACATGAAAACTAGTGATTTATACAGTTTAGTCATGCGATAATTTGTTTAAACCCAGTGTCGACACCGTGAGACCAGTGAATAGAGTGGATATAGACAAGAATGGTGATAATGTGAACTGCGAAGGCTGCCAGAAGAAGACGCCGTTCATTTCATTCATGCCATGATCACAACGTGGTGCAACCCACATTGTAATGTCGGCAATAAAAATCAGGTATGTAGGTACTATTTATCTGTAATCGCGTCGCGTTAAGTCCCGATCGTGAATTTAAAATATCGGTTGTATCGATCACTATGAGATTGGCTATACACGTACTATATAGTGTAGTGATAGAATAATATAGTTAATAATAATATTTTATTGACACCAATTTAAGTAGTTACAGTTATTCTTCTTATAAACTATTACATTTTTGTTAAATACGCATCATACATGTGATTTACCAGTAGCATCTATATTAGGCCGAGCCTGTATCATAGATACTACCTTCTTCCAGCGACAAATAGGTAAAAATTAAAATGTTGCAATTGCGTGGGTAGATTTACATTTCAATTTGTACAAAACATGAATGAACTGCATTGGTATCAATCCATTCGCAGCTCGTAAACAGGTACAGTTGATCTCGATCACGCCGACAAAGTCGCGGGTAGGAGCTAGTAAATGTATAAAAGTAATGCTTGTAGCTGATCTTAAGCTACAAGCTGATCTCAAATAAATAAATAATTTACAGATCTACATCGACGGTGGTTCTGAGTGTATGCAAATCCAACCTGCCCGCATCAGTATCTCATTTAAAGAAAAGAGAGAATCCGAATAATATTAAATTGAGGGTAAGTTTACTGCAAATAAAAACTGATCGCCTATTAACGGTCATTTTACCATCTTATTACTGTCTCACTCCCATACCATACATACATATGGTCGCGACGGTTAACGATTTTTATTAAATGCTGAATATTTCAATCACAAATGATACTGGTTAGTTATCTGTCCCCATTTATAGTTATTCATATTTATTGTCAAAATTAATTCGACTGCATGTTGCTAGATGGCGCTGAAAATTATTAGAACGCGCTATAAATAAATTGTGCGTTTCTAACGTTTTTAACATTAAGTTTATTTTTAAAATATATTTTTTTAGTATCTTTTTAAAATAGTTTTTTTTTTGTTCAGTGGTATCTGTTTATTGCTAAAGGGAGACTTTGTAGAAAACTTGGGTACCTCTGTCCCATTCGTATTTCTACCGTGAAACAGTTTTGTGTGTATGTCTGTGTTTCGGTTTGAAGAATAGGATATGGCAGTAAATTTACAGGGTACAGAGACTTAACACGTTAGTCTTCAGGAATGACAACGCATGGGGGTATCATGGGCGAAACGGTATATTCTGTTATAGCTATGATACAAGTACTGTTCATGTCTATAGATAGACGACGGTTACCACTTTTCATCAGGTGGGCCGTTAACTTGTTTGCCATTCTAAGTTGCATAGAAAAAAATATATCTTTCGGCAGTGATTTTAGATACGATGCTTTTGAATTTAATAAAAGATTAATTTATCAGAAGTAGAGTTTGTACAAAATTCCTTTACATGCATGTAGGTACTTCGGTTTTAAAGATGGATGGGATATGGTAGTTAAATTGTAGGGTACGTGGGTACAATCTTAGGAGTCTTAGTTCTCAGAAATAGCAGCACAATAGGAATACCATGGGGATAATAGTATTTTGTAATATCCATGATGCTATTATATCTATTGGCCACTATAATTACATTTTAACTACTCGCCATTAGGTGGGTCGTTAGCTTGTTTGCCATTCATAGTGTCATAAACAAATTCAGTAAAAGAATATACCATTTGTATAGTTAAATGCTATTATATTAATTCAGTAAAATGCGAAACAATAGTATAGAAATTAAGTGTAATCCTATTCTATTTTAATATAAAAAATGCGAAAGTTTTTAACAATGGATGTTTATTACTCTGTGTATTTGAATAAAATATAGTACACAGATAAGTTATATCCTATAGTAGCACGTATGATACTTATAGGTATATCTACTGGTACACGCGGATAGAGTTGAAGGATATAGCTAGATATTTCATAAAAGTAAACTAAATGAACTATTCGTTATAAGTATAAAATTGAGTATGTCATTATGAATAAACAAACATGTTAGTTTATTATTAATATTTTAGAAATATTTTGTACCAGAGGGAGACTTTGTACAAAAGTCGATTGCTTGGGTACCTCTGTCCCATTCGTGTTTCAACCGTGAACCAGTTTTGTTTGCATGGCTGTGTTTCGGTTTGAAGGGTGGGATATGGCGTGAATTTACTGGATACAGAGGAATAACACCCAATTCCTCAGGAATGGCAACGCATGGGGGGTATCATGGGCAAAACAGTATACTCTGTTATGTCCATGGTACTGCTCATGTCTATAGGCGACGATTATCACTTTCCATCAGGTGGGCCATCAGCTTGTTTGCCATTCTAAGTTGTATAAAAAAACCTAATAATATACATATAAGTATTTATTTAATATTATGATGATTTATTAGTTATTATGATTTTTTAATATGCTTGGCTTAATTACCATTAACTGTATAGTTGTATGTTTGACTTATTGATTTAAATTTTTAATAAAAGATTTTCTAATAAAATCATCATCAATAATGATGCGATTGTAACAAACTGAATTTATCAATTATCACTATTATTATTATTTTGTAAGAATTATGAGACCTACCAATGCATGTGAGAAGTTCCTCTTCAGTAAATGTACTAAAATCTCTCTCGTCTTAAGACACTCTGGGGTTATTTTGCAGATGCATTAGTTTAGTTTTCTTTAATGTATGTATGTTTGGTTATGTATATATATATATATATATATATATATATATATATATATATATATATATATATATATATATATATAATATACAATACAATACAATTTGAAAATATTAAGTGTAAAATTTATGTACCTCCCTATTTAGAATACTGGAAGTGCTATGCGTAGTCAGAGATATACCTAATGATTATTTTTTATTAGCTATTATTTTTCTCTTTTCACCAATTCACAAGTTCTACCAGACATTCAAAAGTTTACTGTACAATAAAGTGTTACAAACAAACAAAAATAACTTGAATGCATTTTTGTTAAAATTTCTCATTTTATGGATACAATACGATTTTTAAATTTCTGTACCTATTGTATTGTATTAACAATATTTTTCTTTAATAAAGATTCATTTGTCGGTAGGTGTGTATGATGAGGGAATGTAATCAGGACCGCCGCTGGCAAGTTATACATCCTCTATCTCAAAAGTGTTGGATCATTTTACTGGAACGGTAACGCTGCCTGTGCTGATCGTATATGCTGGACGAACACTAGTAATGGATGAATGGTAAGGATTTCGCCAAAGATTAATACAGGTGATCGTACATAAACGGAAGAAGTCAAAAATTAAGACGCAGAAGTAAATGAAGAAGGAGAAGCAAAATGATGACGAATAATGAAAAAGCTCAGTAAATCCTTAAAGTAGTTTAGTAGGCCGGATAGGGCTGTCCAAATTAGATGGGATTTAGTTTGGCAGCGCTGTTATAATGAATGTTATGTTGAACAGATAAAGCCAATAAAAGTAACTAAATTAATTTTGGGGGGCCACAATGTATTTGTAAGAACAAAATGCAGCTATAATATCATTATTTTGTTATTGTATTACTTTTTATTAATTTATTTTTTACAAATAGACGACAAAGTTTATCATTAATATTGGTAGTAGCTAGAAAATATTTGGCGGGCCGTATCAACTGAAGCCGCGAGTCACATGTGGTTTGGACAGCTCTGGGTTATAACATGAAGTCTGCCTTTTGTATTAAGTACGTCTTATTGTTATTTTTAGTCTTGCTAATATTATAAATATGATAGTTTATTTGTTATCTCTTGGTGTCTTAGTGACTGAACTAATCGTCATATATTTGGTACACACTTTTTTTTTATAATAGGGTAATAATGAATGATAACCCTACTAGCGCTATCGATGTATACTTGCGGTGTATCAACGGCGATGATAAATGAAAATAAAGCCAGTTAATGTATCATGGTGAATTTACTGGGATTTAATCACGTTGGATCCCAGAAGAGTGTGAGACCGTGTAGGGGTCGAACGGACAGGAAGTAGTTAACAATGACAACCAACTTCCCCCATTATTAGAAATCTCTACGCTCTACGTAGTATTTGAAATGAAAAAGAACAACGAATACTTTTTATTCCAGTAAAAGTTGCCGGGATTAAGATTCTGTACCATTTTTCATTTTTTTTTATGTTATCTATACCATTTACTTGCAAATATCTTTTTATAATATATTAATTCTATTTAGTAGGCGCTTACTCATTTCGTGTATGCATGTCGTTATGAGGTACGTAGGTACCCTACCTATACCTATATCTAATGTTTCTTTAATTTTTCTCAAAACATATTTATTACGTGGAAGTTTTAAAAATAACTTTGAATTTTTATATAATAGCATCTCGGCCGTGTCCCGGCGTTGATTCCGGCATAGAATAGGCCACCCCTTTTTTCTTACGGATGTCGTAAAAGACGACTAACACAAACAAAACAAAAACATATCTAAAGCATGATTGCCGTATGTGTATATGTGTGTGTGTGTGCGCATTTGTATTCAGCTATTATTAAATATAATTATTTTAGTGTTAATGTCATAAGCCAATTTTTTACAGTCGTTTTAACTTTTTTGGTAGAGAGTGCATTTATATTTGTATGAAATTTACAAATTTTATTATTTATTATTTAGCTGTAAATATGCGGCTTGATGTTTAGGAAGAGCAGTGTTTATAACTGGTATAGGAAAACGGAATAAGCGGCGCCTTACGAGACGACTGAAATCAGGAGAGTTACTAATTTCTTTATGCATGCTGTTGCTTTTAAAATGTAGATCTGACGAACCCTCTTTGGAAACAACTTCCAGCAACAGTATTTCCGGATATGGGCGGCGTTAGTCACTTACCATCAGGTGAGCCGCATGCTCGTTACTAGCTAACCCTGAGCACCTTGCTTTGCATATATAGTTTGTCAGTGGAAAAACTTAAGAAGAGAACATCGTCTTCGACAGTCGTCTATTAGAGCGTCCTGGTTGTTACTTTATTAACTGAAATCATTCATAATTTTAATTATTAAAATGACTACATTTAAATCTTAAAATGCGTTTAATAGAAAATTGATACGTACTTAGGCTTTTTGATTTAAGGTCTTCATAATCTGAGTCCATATCCATTATTCCTATGGTGTTCCCGATGATGAAGATTCCTGAGAAAATATATAATATAAATATAAAAAAAACAGAAAACATTATGATATGAACAAAAATGTACATCGGAACGTCGGACGGCGGAAGCGCATCAGAAAAGCTAAGTAGAGAAAATATTGTCTCGAGTGTCGTCTTATAGAGGGCTCTCGTCCTTTATCAAATGCACTACGTCGCCCAATGTTTCCCTCTTAAAATCGCTTGTATAAATAAATAAATTATAATTAACATAAATTATTTATAATTTTAATTATTAAAATGACTCCACTAAAAACTTCAAATACGTATTTAATAAAAAGTCGATACGTTCTTAGGCTTTTTGATCGTAGATCTTCGTCGTTCGATCTTATGTCCATAATGCCCATGTCAGAGTCCATCAGAAGCGTCACAGCATTCTCAGTCGACTTACCCTGACGAAATCCGAACTGGTTATCATTCAAAATTTTATTTTCCTCTAGAAACTTAACTAACCGTCTGTATATGATACGCTCTAGAAGTTTAGAAAATGCTGGCAAGAGTAATATTGGACGATAATTGCTGGGATCATCTTTAGTACTACCTTTATGCACAGGAACTACCACCGCTGTTTTCATATCTGAGGGAAAGATCCTGACAAAATGCTTCGATTAAATATTGACGCTAGCGGGCTCGCAATGAGATGGCCAATATTTTTTAATATATTATTGTTGAGGCCATCAAAACCAGAAGCATTACCAAAATCCAGAGTGCTTATATCATTTAAGATTTCTTGAGCGTCAGTGGGATATATGAAAAACGAATTTTTTGGAGCACAAGTGTACTTTATTTTTTTGATTAGCGATTCTTGCGTTTCACTTAACTTACATATATTTACAATAAAATATATTTACAATGTAAACAATATAGGTAACGTAGAACAAAAACGAGTATTTGAATAAAATTGTTAGGTCGATACATTGTCGATACTGGACATTCTCTCCGGTTCCCTTTCCTTTCCCCTTACTAAAGAGTAAGGGGAACATAAATTATTTATAATTTTAGTTATTAAAATGACACCATAAAAACTTCAAATATATATTTTAAAAAAGTTGATACGTACTTAGGCTTTTTTGATCGTAGATCTTCGTCGTCCGATCTTTTGTCCATAACTCCCATGTCAGAGTCCTGAGAAATAAAAAAAAAAAACAATATAAATAACAAAAAAAAAAAAACAAAAAATATTATAAAAATATATTTACAATGTAAACAATATAGGTAATGTAGAATAAAACGAGTATTTGAATAAAAGTGTTAGGTCGATACATTGTCGATACTGGACATTCTCTCCGGTACCCTTTCCTTTCCCCTTACATTTTCCTTTATTCTTCGGCTGAAGATTCGCTTATGAAGAATTTATATTAGTTAATTTTTAGCTATATCGAGCATGGTAGGTGTAGTTAATTAATTTATATAAAAACAATATTGACTTACATTAAAAGTTTCCCCGATTTTGTGTTTAATGCAAACACCACGGTCCTTGAATTCCGTCTCCAATTTTGTTAGTAAAATAAAAAAAAATATAAGTAAACAACATTAACGTTTAAAAATTATGTTAATTATATTTATATAAAATACATACTTTGGAACTCAAGACTGTTATTTGTGTCAGTCAGCTGGCTAATTGTTTTCTTGGGACCTTTAGACGTCCTCCGTATTTGACTAACGGCCTCAACCAAGAGGTCTGCTCTAGAAACCTGCAAAACAAAGAACATAACTGATAATATGTAATAGATGGTGTACTGTTAATATTGTATGTATATATGTATGAACAAAAGGATACCAACATTGGGGTCGCACTCTAACGCCTCAGCCGGCTTAACCCTGGACTTTATCGAAGTAGCTCGTCGTTCTCACTTCAATAAAAGCGTTACGAGAATGGCATTCGTCCTGAAGACGATATAAAAAGTAAATAAAATTAGTATAAAATATTATAAAAATTATATCTCGCATCTGTTAATTTATTAAACTGATCCCACCTGTGTCAGCGGAATTCTATTTTTCCCCTCAGATCTGTCATTGCATCTGTTGTTTCTAAAAAATAAATAAATAGGTATACTTACACGTAATTCTAAGAAAATAAAATATTAAATTATATTGTACTTAGGAAAACTTACGTTTTGTGACATCTTACATTCCCCTTGTAAGGAGTTGGGGAAACGGGTCCCGGGCTGCAGGCCTCTGTCCGGTGGCGTCGCGTCCGCTGCACATTAAAAAGGTGCGGGTTATTAGGGTGAATTTTTGCTGTCCGATGGCTTCACGTAATGTGTGTTGACATAAGTCATCCGGCTTGTTCTGCCCTGTCAACGCCTGCTAGGTTAGTTAATTAAACTGGTCTTACCTTTGTCAGTGGAATTCTGTTTTTCCTAGCCGGTCTACCACGTATTCTCTCTGTAGTTTACATCTGTTGTTGAAGAAAAAGGTATATTTACATGTAATTCTAAGAAAGTGAAACTAAAGAAAACTTACTAAAATAATAAATAAATTCATAATTCATAAAATAATTGTTTCTTTGTATAAATACATACATTTTCAACTATTGGATAGTTAAAATTAACATCTTCCAAATTATGGAAAAGAATTGAAACAGCCATAGATACTTAACCTAGTTGTACTTAACTTATGAGTCAGACTGATATCATTATTTACACAGAGTACCCGAAACAAAATAATGTATTCTGTTATAATTAGCATTAAATAAAATATTTTCATCATATCAACTTTCCAATGATTTAATTCGAATTATTGACAATAGAACCAAATGACATTTCAATAGTGAAAATCCAAAATATAATTCATTTGGAAACGCACCTTTAGTCTCGGAGCTAGCTCGGACACCGGAAATCGGAGCGTCGTACGACGAAAGCGCATCGAAAAACCTAAGTAGACAGAAAATTGGCTCGAGTGTCATCTAATAGAGGGCCATAGCCCTTTATTAAAGATAACGTCGCCCAAATATTCTCTCTGCTAATCGCCTGTAACAACAAAAATTATTTATAATTTTAGTTATTAAAATGACACCATAAAAACTTCAAATATATATTTTAAAAAAGTTGATACGTACTTAGGCTTTTTTGATCGTAGATCTTCGTCGTCCGATCTTTTGTCCATAACTCCCATGTCAGAGTCCTGAGAAATAAAAAAAAAAAACAATATAAATAACAAAAAAAAAAAACAAAAAATATAAAAATATGTTTACAATGTAAACAATATAGGTAACGTAGAACAAAACGAGAATTTGAATAAAAGTATTAGGTCGATACTGGACATTCTCTCCCGTTCCCTTCCCTTTCCCCTTACCCTTTCATTTATTCTTCGGCTGAAGACTCGCTTATGAAGAATTTATATCGAGAGAGAATTTATATGAAGAATTTATAGCTATGTCGAGCATGGTTTTTTTTTTCTAATTGTAAGTGTTGTTGGCCGCAGATGGCCTTTACAACTTTACCGAACGCGTGTGTGCAGGGGCGAATGCGGATGGCACTCCAAGCCCGCGAGAGGGGAGCGACAGAGGTGTCGACTCTTTCTAATGGACTGCGGCGTGCGCCTGAGGGCGCCTAAGTGGCTCGAACCTCGGCTCGGGCCGCCACACTTCGACCCCCGTCGAGGGACGGTGGATCGGTGGAGCGAACGGGGGAACGAGGAGACACCGCGGACGGCGCACTTTCGGGCGTAAAACGAATGTTCCGCGAACGCGAATCGGGTGTGATGAGCCTTCGCCCCTGCCGGCGGGGACGGTGTGTGCGGTGTGTTGGTGTGACGATTGCGGGCCCTAGGGACGAGAGTTCCGCGGTAGTTGGGGAGGACGCATTTGCCTTTGTTATGGAATCGTCGGGGTCTGAGAGTGCGTGCCTCGGGCGACGACGTCTGAATGTGACGTTCTCTCTTGGGGTGTACGAGCCCGCCTTGACTATCAGCGGATTCGGGTGGGATTCGGTCGCAGCGAAGTAGCGTCGAGACGCTTCCTTCATGTACTGCTTGATGGAGGGGATCTTAAGATCGCGGTGAAGGTCCGCGTTGCGTACGAACCACGGAGTCGTTGAAATATTGGTTTTGTCACTAATAAGAGAACCATGGTATTAGAGACGCGATCAATAAAATAAGCAAAACCCATCTGGTATGGAGTTTGGTCAAAATTTCTAATATTCAACAAGGAAGCCTTACTAACTGGGCTCTAAATACAGTCGCTAAGTCCGCTGGTACCCTTAGCTCTGTTTCAGGGTCATCAGCTACTGTAAGGTGGTGGGGGGAGGGATTGTTAGTAATAGGGAGGTTAGTTCTCATTGCTATCAATATACCTATCAGGTCGACCTCCACGCGGTTCCCCTTAGAAACTATCGTGACTAATTTATCATTGAATTCGACATAATGGGCTAACTGACCTGCCTTTCATCCTCACTGGTGCCCCGCCAGTGTTTACCGATAGCGCAGGCGTGGTTACCATTTCATTATTATACATAAAAAAAGCTATCGTAAAATAACGGGTATAGGATAATGGAGCGAGTGCACACGGCTCTCCGGACACGCGCAAGGACTTGTAGAGTGGCCTTTTGCCGTCTCCTTTTCGCGGATGCGATATTTTAGATTATGACCACCATAAAGCAGTTCTAACCTCAGATATGTTTACTGGCTGAGACAGAAAGTAGTCTATTTCCTTCTTTCCATGTAGCACATGTATACTAAATTTCACAATAATGAAGCAATTAAAGCACTTGGAGATAACACACTTTCATATTTATAAGCACATCTACTGTAATAATAAATGAAATAATATTTAATAAATGGATTTTTAAATCTAGTTTTATTTTTTTTGAGGGCGAAGTAATAAACTGACTTGTGACCATTTTGTATTGTTATGGCACACGCACAAAAGGAAAAATTGTACTTGGCTTTATGTATTTTTTAAAATAATTTCTCTTATCTCCCATTTTATGTATATCTGTATCTGTTATAATTTGTGTGCTGTATGTAATGCAAATAAATTATCTATCTAACTAATGACTGGAAACTTTTGAAGTTGATAATTGCTCTATGAAATCTAGATAAATGTAGAGAAATCTCTAAGTTGATAGTTTATTTACTAAAGTTGGGTAATAGTTATGACTAAGTTCACTACATATTTAAATCAAAGTTGACAAATACATTAGACTATCTCATTAAGGAATCTCATTAATATGCTGATTCCTGAGCGTATTATTTTTATGTGCACATAATTATATTTCAATGACGAATAAAACTAAAATCCAATTTAGGTACTTACGACTAATATGACTTCAATAAAACTACGGTAACAAAATTATTACACTTATTTTAATGACTTTGAAGTAACACAGCTTACACAACATACAACATTGGTAAAATATAGATAAGAATTATTTTTTATGCAACTTAAAATGGCAAATAAGTTGACAGCCCACCTGATGAAAAGTGGTAACCGTCGCCTATAAACATGAGCAGTACCATGGACATAACAGGGTATATTGGTCCAGGTTGTCTGTAAGAGATTGCTTTTCAGCGATAAGGCCGCCTTTTGTATATGCACATTCTGTGTAAATACTCCTTGTATACATCTCTACTGTGCGCAATAAAGAGTTTATTATTATTATTATATTGTTTCGCCCATGATATCCCCCAGGCGTTGCCATTCCAGAGGACTCAGGTGTTATTGCTCTGTACTTCGTGAATTCACTGCCATATCCCACTCTTCAAACCGAAACACAGACATGCAAACTCAACTAGTTCACCGTAGAAACACGAATGGGACAGGATCCCAAGCAAACGACTTTTGTACAATGTCTCCCTCTGGTAAAGATAATAATTTATTTGAATATAACTTTATTGTTAATATACAATATAGGTATACACACAACATAGAATCCTTTAAAAAGCCTATAAAAGGATTCTAAGGTAGGTGGGATAGAGTAAGTAGGTACCTATTCAAGTAATTGTATCCCACAGATAGATAGGTACTCTTCATTGTTTCCTCCAAAAGATTACAGTAGTAAATTTATTAGGTATAGGTACAAACCATCACAAGAAATGTTTACAAATTAGCTAGGGCATTTCGTGTTTTAAGCGCATTTATTTCATTAGGTACAATATATTGTAAATACGTATTTAGTATACTAAATACGTTTTTTTTCTAATACATTATTATTTTAGTATTAGTTATGTTAGTTTTTAGGGCATTTTAGTTAAGGCGTTTATTTCATTACAATATACTAAATACGTATATTTTCAACGAGTCTATATATATATATATATATATATATATATATATATATATATATATATATATATATATATATATATATATTTCTAATTAAAGCAACATTAAATAAATCTCATTATTGTAGGCACTTTACTAATCATGAATTAAAAAGTGATAGTGCCCAATAGTACCCACGGAAGAGATTCCGTCCAAGTACTATTCGCATGACACATGATGGAAGTCTTAAGCTGCCTGTGGAATCTTTCAACAAGG